ATGGAAACCATTCGACAGTGAGCACAAGCACCCCTACCCTGTGGGCTTCTCCAGAGCCCCTAGACAAGCTAAAGCCCCTAGACAGGCTTTGTTTTAGCTACTCCTAAGACCCTTACAGAAGACCTCTGTGGACTCCTTGTCTTCAAGGAGTTCCTCATCTAATCAGTTGGGGTGGGACAGAAGGCTGTGGTAACGTACTGTGGGAGCACAGCAGATGGAATGAGGTCATCTGGGAGGTCATGGGTCAGGACATTCCTGGCAGAAGACAGAGTTGGGGGACCCAGGGTGTCCAGGAAGGTCAGGGTCATTCTGTGTGGCCCATTATGGAGGCTGAGGTACTAGGGCAGGCTGGATCCATGGCCTTTCCACCTGGTACAGTCCCCAGGAGACAGTGCCAAGGAGACACTGCCCTAGACCAGGCTCTGAGGTCATGGACAGACCAGACGCAGGTCCTTCTTTCCAAGGCATTCCTGGTCTCAGGGACAATTCAGATACAGAAAAGATTAATTTAGCCTACCAGAAAAGTGAACCCTTCAACACCTACAGAGGGAGCTGTGAGAGCACCAACTGTGGCCTATCTGGAGATCAGGACAGCCCTCCTTGGGGGCAAGGGAAATGACCTCGAAGAGGGAAAGGTGTGCTAGGCAGAGTTGATCATTGCTGGGGAGGAGCTCTGGAAGACTGCAGCCTCTTCCAGAAGAGCTGTGTTTTGCAAGTAGGGGAGGGTGATAGAAGTGATAAGGAGAGAGGAAGGAGGCCAGAGGGCAAAATGAGCAAAATGCCAACCCTTAAGTGCAGGGACGGGCAGGTAGCCCTGATCTCAGGGCCTCTTCTTGATCCCCAGTGGTGTGCACATGATGGTGGCCACCCCTGGGCGCCTCATGGATCTGCTGCAGAAGAAGATGGTCAGCCTAGATATCTGCCGCTACCTGGCTCTGGATGAAGCTGACCGCATGATTGACATGGGTTTCGAGGGCGACATCCGCACCATCTTCTCCTACTTCAAGGTGCCCATCCCAGCCTGGCTGGGGCATCCCTGCCCCCAGCACAAAACATTCAGCCATGGCAGGCCCTGAGGCCTGGCACTACCCACCTACTGGCCCTGCACTGGGGGGCTTCATCCCAGCTACTTGGCCTTCCCAGGCCTTACCTGCCCTCAGTTCTAGCCCTCTCTTCCTCAGGGCCAGCGTCAGACCCTGCTCTTCAGTGCCACCATGCCTAAGAAAATTCAGAACTTTGCCAAGAGTGCCCTAGTAAAGCCTGTCACAATCAACGTGGGGCGTGCTGGGGCCGCCAGCCTGGATGTCATCCAGGTGGGCAAGCGCTCCTGATGAGTAGAGTCTCACTCGTGAGGGTTGGATCTGGCTAGGTCTCATAAAAACTCTTGGAGTAGGGTTGAGGGACCACCTTGTGGGCACCGAGGGTTTCATTCAAAGCCCCAGCCCTTAGCAGGAAGCATTCTTAGGGCGGCTAGCCCTTTATAGCAGGAAGCTTCTGGTATCCTACCAGCCAGGATTGGGGGCCCAGGCGCTATGACTGAGCCATGGCTGGTGAGCCCATTCAAGGCCCACCTGACCTGACCCCTGTGGTGGCAGGAGGTGGAATATGTCAAGGAAGAGGCCAAGATGGTATACCTGCTTGAGTGCCTACAGAAAACACCCCCACCCGTAAGTGCAGCCAGCCAGCCTGGCCTAGGACCCCTGGGATAAGGGGGAGGGGGTGGTGGGCGCAACATGCTGGAGAGAAGGTCGGGCATGCCGGGTTGGAGTCCGCCCTCATGACTGAAGCTGGCCTACCTGGACAGGTGCTCATCTTTGCAGAGAAGAAGGCAGATGTCGATGCCATCCACGAATACCTGCTGCTGAAAGGGGTCGAGGCAGTGGCCATCCATGGGGGCAAAGGTCAGGGGTTAGTGCATTCCTAGGCATAGGTTTTGCTGCCATTGCTGCCCCTCCCCTAATCCCTTTCCCTGCCCAGTGGGCCTGCCACTACTCCCCAGTCTCCTGTTACTCTAACAGCTCCTGCCTAACCCTCCACAGACCAGGAGGAACGGACAAAAGCCATCGAGGCATTCCGGGAGGGAAAGAAGGATGTCCTGGTGGCCACAGATGTAGCCTCCAAGGGCCTGGACTTCCCTGCCATCCAGCATGTCATAAATTATGACATGCCTGAGGAGATCGAGAACTACGGTGGGGAGCTCGGGGTCAGGGGTGTGGGCTAGGCCCCCAGACCCTGGACAGTAGGCCAGAGGCTCTATTCCTCTCTGCAGTGCATCGTATCGGCCGTACCGGGCGCTCAGGAAACACAGGCATCGCAACCACTTTCATCAACAAGGCCTGTGGTAAGGCTGCCATCAGGGCCACCTCAGCTGTTCCCTGGGTCCTCTGCCTGTGGCTACCCAGGTCCTGGCTGCAGGCCACAGAGTTGGGCCTGATGGTTCCCTAATACCCCCACAGATGAGTCGGTGCTGATGGACCTCAAAGCCCTGCTGCTAGAGGCTAAGCAGAAGGTGCCTCCTGTGCTACAAGTGCTGCACTGCGGGGATGAGTCTATGCTGGACATTGGAGGTGACTGTGGGCCGGGAGACGCTGGTCCAGTGGGGGTGTTAGGGGGAACACCACAAAACAGGTCCATGCTGCACATCATAGGACTTGGGGGAGGGATCTAATGGGAAACCAAAGTCTGGGTGTGGTGCCTGGTCCTGCAATCACACGGACTCTCATCCTTGTGTCCCCAGGAGAGCGTGGCTGTGCCTTCTGTGGGGGCCTGGGCCATCGAATCACTGACTGCCCCAAACTCGAGGCTATGCAGACCAAGCAGGTCAGCAACATCGGCCGCAAGGACTACCTGGCCCACAGCTCCATGGACTTCTGAGCCATCCATCGTCCCTTGTCTCTGAGAGCCTTCAGTCTCCAGCTACCAACCACATACACCAGCCCCCTGGACAAAAAGCCAGCATCCTTGGCCCAGCTGGCCTGGGCTGGGCCAGGCTGGGCCTGGCTGCCTGCTCCCTGTGTCCCCCAGAATTACTATTTTTGTTCCCCTTTACCCCAGGCTATCATTAAAGCACAAGCCCCTGGTCTCAGCCCAGCCCTGCCTCTGTGTTTCGCTGCCTGATCCCTGCTTCCTGGGCAGCTCTCACCCTCTGACCTCCATAGCCCCTCTAACTCAGGGAACTAGTATCTCCCACCACCACTGCCAACACTGGGCCTGCTGGGTCTTAGTTGTAGGAAGGGTCATGTAGCTGGGGCCCCCTGCTGGGAACTCTGGGTATGTCCTCTGGGCTAGCTGTATTTGTGACTAAAGGAGAGACTGCATTGGTGGGCCAAGGGGAAATGGTTGGGTTTTCTGGTCTCTGGTTGGCTCTTTATAATCTCCAACCTTGCCCCAGCCTCCCCCTTCCTGTCTGTTGTATGAAGCTCCTGGGGCCCCTTGGGAGGTGACTTCCTGCCTCAGCCCCCCCTGCCCATTTGCCAGTGCACACTGCCCACAGCCCACAGACTCCCAGTAGAGAATCCTCTATTCCCCTTGCTGAGAGGCCAGCAGACACCACAGGACTGCACTTCAGGCCACTAGCACTCACTGACCTCACTCTGTGTCCAGCTCCCTGCTGGGCTCAGGATCCAAGCAATCCAGGCAAACACCTGTTGGGAAGCTCCTAGGTAAGTGGGAGAGACAGGAGATAGGAATAATTGGGGGTGGCAGCAGGAGACTCCTGGCAAATGGAGTAGGATGTCAGCATCTGGCGAGGGACAGGCAGAGGAAGAGCCACTAGCAGCACTTGGTGTGCAAGACCACATGCTCTATCCCAGCAGGACAGCCATTGCTCAAGTCACAGTTTGTCACTTTGTGTTTGGCCTTAGGCAAGTTACTTAATGTTTCTGAGCTTCGATTTCCTCATCATTGAAATGCAATGAGAATGCAAAGGACAGGGTGTCCTAATGCTGGAGCCCAGCAAAAGACAGGGTGTCCTAATGCTGGAGCTCAAGGCTGCTCAGGCTGCAATGGACACAAAGCCAGGTGGACAGGCCCTTGGAAAAGATTTCCTGCTGACACCCCACATGTGACCCTAAATGGTATTACTCAGGCTGGTTACCCATGCTTTTGTAAAAGCAGCATTGAATGACATGAGGCTGTCCCCAGAATTCAGACTCATAGCCCCAATAGTAGCCTCTAGCGAGGTGAGGCAAAAAAAGATGCCTGGCAACAAGCAAAGTTTAAAAAGAGCATGTGAGCTCTCCAGGACCCACTGGGGGCATGCCACCCATACATGACCCGGCCGTGCTGCAAGGACCGGAGTTCACTGGTTGGGCCCTTGTGCTCAGCAAAAGTGAGAAAGTGGGGCCTCCCAGGGTTAGAGGCAGCCCAGCGATCAAGTTGAACAGTGGTAAGGGGTTCCCTGGAGGCACTGGGCTGAGGCAGTTGGAGGCCGGAACAGGGCACCTTGGGTGCCACGCTGAGGAGCCCAGGCTATGCCCCTGCGCAGGGGGGCAGTCGGTAAAGGCTTGGGAAGGGGAGAGATGGGTTGGTTTGGGCTCGGTTGAAAGGACCACAGTGGGACAGTGGTTCAAAGGGGAAATAATGAACGGGGATGTAAAGACGGGACCAAGTGAATATTAGAAACAGTTCTAAAATAAGCAGAGCGGGACTGAGGCTCAAGAGAAAAAGCAAGGAACTGGTCAGTCTGGATAGAGGGGGGTCCTGGGGCAGGGACAGGGCTGTGGGAATATCAGGTGCTGGGGTGTACAGCTGCCCTGCACAGAAGAGAGGTCAGAGCATATGACTCACAGTCAGCTGACCCAGGTACAGGCCTAGGTCATCTTCTCTCCAGTAGTCTGAGGCCCCTGCCAGGCCCACGTGAGCACATCGGGCCCTCGGGACCCAGAGGAAGGTATATGTGACGTCCCCACCCCCTATCCTACCTCCTTTACTGAAGACGGACTCCCCTCCCCCCAGCCCTGCAGCTGCCTCTCTGAACAGAGGGAGGGGGAAGTGGCCAGAAGGGGAAGTGTGAGGAGTTCCCCTCTGGCCTGTCACCAGTCTCCTCAGGCCCTCAGAGTGGCAGTCCTGAGGCCTGGCAGCGGCCATGGAGCCTCTGGAGACTCCCATCAAGGACGGCATCCTCTACCAGCAGCACGTCAAGTTCGGCAAGGTGGGGACCCTGGCTGCCCAGCAGCTGCCCAGGGCGTTAGGCCTCTGGCCCAGCCTCAGCCCACCAAGACCTGGGAGAATGGGGAAGGGAGTCAGGGTGGGTGACCCAACCAAGGTGCTGGGGAATAGAACAGAGCCCCATTCTCAGCTTGAGTGGGTTGGGCTGAGTAGGCCTTTATGAGAGCCAGCCCTGTTCAAGGATGGGGAAGCCAAGAGTGGGGAGGATCTAAGAATCCCAACCTTGGGGCAGGGCTGAGCTGAGAAGCTGACTGACCTGATAGCCTTACGCCCCATGTTGTAGAGGCACCAAGGCCCCTGTAGAGAAGGCTGGAGGCTTAGTTGGAGGATCCCTCCGACCCCACCCCACATAGGAGGGCTCAGTCCCTATAGCCCTGTTATGGGACATAGTTGGGGAGTTTACGTCTCCCCAGGCAGGAGGCCCTGCACCCTCATAGCTCAGCTGCAGCTGCTGCCCAGGGAGATAAACAGTCTATTTCCTTTGCTTTATGCTATTTGCATGTTTCCTTCCTTGCCATCATGAGACTGAGGCCTCCTTCCTGGCTCAGTCCTTGTCCCATGGTCCAAAGGGACCTGTTCTTTGGTGAGGAAGGGAGTAGGGGCACCAACATAATTATAGTATCAGGTGGTCTGCTGTAACTACTAGATACTTCAGAGACATAACCCAGTAGAAGCCCCAACTTTGTGTACTCTTAGTTTTTTGAGATGGGGTACTAGTGCTCCTGGAGGTCACAGGCAATTGGTGGGGTGGATTTGAACCCACAGCTGCCTGGCCCCAAACACAGACTCTTCCCCCTGCTGGTCTGACCTTGGCAAGACCTCCTTCTCTGTGGCCCTGAGGATCTGAGGGAAGCAGAGGCCAGCCTGAGTGGCCAGGAACATTTGCTGAGCAGTTTGTGCTGAGCTGAGCTGAGCTACAGGGAGAACTGCCACTCAAGGGTCTTTTCCCCCATCTTCACCTCCCACAGAAGTCCTGGCGGAAGGTATGGGGTCTGCTGTATGCAGGAGGACCATCAGGTGTGGCACGGCTGGAGAGCTGGGATGTCCGGGATGGTGGCCTGGGGCCAGCAGGCGACAGGTCTGCAGGACCCTACCGGCGTGGCGAACGGCGGGTCATCCGCCTGGCTGACTGCGTGTCTGTGCTGCCTGCTGATGGTGAGAGCTGCCCCAAAGATACTTGTGCCTTCCTGCTCACCACCACAGAGCGAAGCCACTTACTGGCTGCCCAGCATCGCCAGGAATGGATGGGCCCCATCTGCCAGCTGGCCTTCCAGGTAAGCATAAGGCAGTTGGGCAGGGCATCCGGGGCCAGAAGTGGACTACCTGATACCCCCACCTTGTTCATCTCCGTGGTCACTCACATCCTGGCACTCAGCTAGTACCTGCCAAGGACCCACAAGCCTAAGGAAATAGCCCCCTAAATCCATAGAATGAATCTCATATGGCCATTCATGCTGTGGAGAAAATGAAAGGCTGGTGGGACCAGGAATGAATGGTGGGTTGTTAGATGGGAAGGCCTTTTTGGAAGGGGCAGGAAGCCCAAGTCCTCAAGGACAAATAAGAACTCACCAAGCAAAGATCTGAGGCAAGGGTGATCCAGACACTGAGGCCTGAAGAATGTCCTGAACTGATGGAGTAGCAAGGGCAAAGGCCCTGAAGCAGGGAAAAGTTTGGTATATCAAAGAGGTGGAAAGGCCACCATGCCTGGAGGGTAAGGAGTGGGGAGCCTAGGAGGAGGCAAAATTGGAGAGTTTGGTGGGAACCAGCTGAAACTACTTTGGGTCACATGTGGAGTTTTGGGGTCTTATTCTGAGAGGAGAAGCCTTTGGAGGAGGTTTTTGGGAGCCAGGGACTGAAAGCTTTAAAGCTTCATAGAGGGATTCCTGGGTGGCTCAGCGATTTCGTGCCTGCCTTCAGCCCAGGGCAAGATCCTGGAGTCCTGGGATCAAGTCCCATGTCAGGCTCCCTGCGTGGAGCCTGCTTCTCCCTCTGCCTGTGTCTCTGCCTCTCTGTGTCTCTCATGAATGAATAAATAAAAATCTTTGAAAAATAAAATAAAATAATAAAGCTTCATAGAGTCTATTATGGACCAAAAGGAAATGAGCCTAGTTCCTCAAAAAGTTAAACATAGAGTTACCATATGACCCAGCAATTCCACTGGTAGGTGTATACCCAAGAGACTTGAAACAGGTGTTCAAACAGAGCTTGTATGAGAATGCTCAGAGCAGCATTAATCACAATGACTCAAAGGTGCTGTCTATTAACTGATGAATGGTTACACCAAATGTATTCTATCCATACAAAAGAATATTACCTGACCATAAAAAAAAAAGAGGTACTGATACATGCTAACACCATTAATGAACCTGGAGAACATCATGCTAATTAAAAGAAGCCATACACAAAAGACCATATATTTGTATGATTCTATTTATGTGAAACACCCAGAATAGGCAAATCTATAGGGAAAGCAGCTTAGTGGCTGCCAGGGGCTAGGAGAAGGGGGAGTGGGTAGTGACTGCTGATGGATTTTATTTTTTTTTTAATTTTTTTTTAAATTTTATTTATGATAGTCACAGAGAGAGAGAGAGAGGCAGAGACACAGGCAGAGGGAGAAGCAGGCTCCATGCACCGGGAGCCCGACGTGGGATTCGATCCCGGGTCTCCAGGATCGCGCCCTGGGCCAAAGGCAGGCGCCAAACCGCTGCGCCACCTAGGGATCCCCATGCTGATGGATTTTAATGTGGAATGATTAAAAAAAAAAATTCTGGAACTAGGGGCCCCTGGGTGGCTCAGTTGGTTAAGCGGCTGCCTTTGGCTCAGGTCATGATCCCTGGGTCCTGGGATGGAGCCCTGAACCTTGCATGTCAGGCTACCTGCTCAGCAGACAGGAAGTCGGCTTCTCCCTCTGCTCCTCCCCCCACTTGTGCTCTCTCTTTCTATCATAAATAAATAAATAAATAACTTTTTAAAAAATTCTGGAACTAGAGCAGGCCTGGTGGCACAGCAGTTTAGCGCCGCCTGCAGCCCGGAGTGTGACCCTGGAGACCCGGGATCAAGTCCCATGTTGGGCTCCCTGCATGGAGCCTGCTTCTCCCTCTGCCTTTGTCTCTGCCTCTCTCTCTCTCTTTCTCTCTCTCTCTCTCTTTTTAAAGATTTTATTTATTTATTCATGAGAGACACAGAGAGACAGAAGCAGAGACACAGGCAGGGGAAGAAGCAGGCTCCATGCAGGGAGCCCGACGTGGGATTCGATCCCGGGACTCCAGGACCACGCCCTGGGTTGGTGGCAGGTGCCAAACTGCTGAACCACCCAGAGATCCCCTCTCTCTCTCCCTCTGAATGTATATATATATATATTTTTTTAATTCTGGAACTAGATAAAGGTGACCATTGCACAATCTTTTTTTTTAATAAATTAATTTTTATTGGTGTTCAGTTTACCAACATACAGAATAACACCCAGTGCTCATCCCGTCAAGTGTCCCCCTCAGATCATTGCACAATCTTGTGATTATACTAAAACCACTAAATTGTATACTTTCAAATGGATTAAATGGTAAATTTTACATTGTGTATTTTACCACAGTATTTTACATTTAAAAAAAAAAAAGGAAATGGACAGGAGCAAAAGAGCAAGGAGATCAGTGAGGAAGCTGTTGCACGTGACCCTGGCCATACTACCATGGGCCAACATGGTTGTGGTGGAAGTGCTGATAGAGCTCAGAGGATGTGAGGGGATGAGGGGCTGGGAAGGGGAGATGGTGAAAGAGGCCTGGATGGAGTAGCTGTTCACTCACACGGGTCCCACCCCTCTATCACTCCAAGCTATTAGGGACACACACCGGCAGGCATAGCCCCTGGCCAAGCACACATGCAATGGGCTTGTCCTCTTATGTGCCCCTACTTTACAACTCACGGCACCCTCAATGGGGAGCCTGGGGGGTTGCAGGTGGGGAAACAGAGGGGTGCCCAGGGTCATGCAGTGTGTCACAGGCAGAACTGGCAGTGGCACCCAGGTCTCTGGATGTCCTTGCTTGTCCTGGAGTCCTAGGTTACTGGCCCCGGGGACAGGATGTGGAAAGAGGAATGAGGGTGAGGGCTCTAACTTCTGACCTTGTCTCATTCTCCAGGGCACAGGGGAGTGTTCCTCGGGACCAGGGGAGGTAGAAGCTTCCAAGAGGGGCTTGGTCCCCATGGAAGAGAATTCCATCTACTCCTCCTGGCAGGAAGGTGAGTCAGAGAGGTGCAGGGGCAGCCTCAGCCATCCTGCAGCCAGGGCTGGGACCTGTGGGGAGCCCACGTGGCTATACCTGATGCCCTCGCCACCCTCCTACCTGCAGTGGGTGAGTTTCCAGTGGTGGTGCAGAGGACCGAGGCTGCCACCCGCTGCCAGTTGAAGGGGCCCCACCTCCTAGTGCTAGGCCAAGATGCCATCCAGCTGAGGGAGCCCTCCAACCCCCAGGCCCTCTACACCTGGCCCTACCACTTCCTGCGCAAGTTCGGCTCTGACAAGGTGAGGTGCCGGGCAGCCACCCTATTCTGCTGGCCCTGCTTGGGAGGGTGGCAAGTTGAGGGGTGCCCAGGTCCCTCCGCCACTAACCCACCCATACCACCCCAACCCTGTGTCCAGGGCATGTTCTCCTTTGAAGCTGGACGCCGCTGTGACTCGGGTGAGGGTCTCTTCGCCTTCAGCAGCCCCCGAGCCCTCGACCTGTGCAGGGCTGTGGCCGCTGCCATTGCCCGCCAGCGGGAAAGGCTGCCAGAGCTGGCTGGCCCCCGGCCCTGTCCTCTGCCTCGGGCCATCTCCCTGCCCTCCCTGGACCCACCAGGAGAGCTGCGGGAGGCGCCCCCAGGCCTTGAGTTACAAAGCTCCCGCAGGGTGCGCCTGGCTGAGCCCGGCCCCCAAAGCCTGCCCCTACTGCTGAGCCCAGCACCCCAAGATGAGCCACTATCTGGGCTCTATGCATCAGTGTGCAAACGGGCCAGTGGGCCCCCAAGCAATGCCGAGCACCTCTATGAGAACCTAGGCATGCTGGAGGCAGGCCCCATGCTGCCCAGGGATAGGGACCCCGAGCAGGAGGGTCCCAGCCACCGCAGCCCCCTGGCCAGCCCTATCTACCACAACAGTGAGGACCTGGGCTGGCCTGGCCCCACCCAAGACAGCAGCCTGGAGGCCCAGTACCGGCGGCTGCTGGAACTGGAGCTGGGCGACAGTGATGAAGCTGGGGCCTCCAGTCGTCCCAGTGTTCACTCAGGCTTCAAGGCCAAGCTGGTGACGCTGTTGAGCCGAGAGCGGAAAAAGGGCCCTGCCCCCTGTGACCGGCCATGAAAGTCCTTGATGGCTCTGCGACAGCAGGAGAGAAAGGTGCTCTGCTGTCCCTGGGCCAGGGCAAACAATGGACATCCAGAACACACCCCCACATCCACTCTGGCCTGTGGGGATGAGGCAAGCAGGCTGGGGAGGACCTCTCGTGTATCCTGCCAGCCCCTCAGTGTACAGTGTACATATTTGCTGGTAATAAAACCTCCCAGCTCTGCTCTTGGTTCCATCTTGTAGCTCACAGTATATAGCTTCTCACTTCAGCTCTTCGCAGTGGCATTCACCGATCACACAGACACACACCTTAACTCACGTGCATTGTAGCAAACATCAGTGCCCTGTACTGGGTTCTGGGAACACACACAGCCTGGATGTGACCTCTGTGACTCATGTGCTCAAGTCCACTTGCACAGATGGGTGGGATGCAGGTCATTATGACCCATGTAGTCCTGTGCAACAAAAATGACTGGGACGATAAAGCAGGAGGGAAAATTGGGCTCGCCAGTGAATGAGGTGCCCTCTGAATTAAGTGTGAAGGGCAGGCAGGGCCTTACCAGGTGGGCAGCAAGCTCCAGGTCTTCCCTGGCTGACAGTGGGTTATGCACTGGCCCAGAGATGAATGGAAAAGCATGGTCACAGAGGACACCCAGGGGCTGACAGGGAGTTGGTGGCCAAGCATGAGGGTCTGACCATCCTGCAGTGAACGAGCTTAGTCTCATCCTCAGCAGAGAGAGAGATTATGTTAAGAGCAGTGTGGAAAACAAATTTGAGGGGGCCCAACTGGAGACCAAGTAGCCTGAGCTGGGGAGGAGGTAGTGGGTGGGTGGGTGGATGGGGAAAGGGTAGGTGGAAGGGACTTCAAAGATTTGCCCCACCAAAACACCTGCTCCCCACTAAGGCTCAAAAATGTGTAGACAGTTCTGGAGAACCTCAGGCCTCAGTCTCCTCAACTGCCAAGGACAGAAGTCAAATTACCCACCAGGCATTCCTTTTTTTTTTTTAATTTTATTTATTTATGATAGTCATACAGAGAGAGAGAGAGAGAGAGAGAGAGAGAGGCAGAGACATAGGCAGAGGGAGAAGTAGGCTCCATGCACCCGGAGCCCGATGTGGGGTTTGATCCCGGGTCTCGAGGATCGCACCCTGGGCCAAAGGCAGGCGCCAAACTGCTGTGCCACCCAGGGATCCCCCCACCAGGCATTCCTTAGAGTTTTACTGCATGCCTGCTTTGTGCCAGGCACTAGGGACACAGCCATATTCAAGACAGCGAGGTCCTTTTGTTTTTGTGTTTTGTTTTGTTTGGTTGTTTTTTAGAGAAAGTGCATGTGGGCAGGGTGGTAGATGGGCAGAGGGAGAGGGAGACAGAGAATCCTCAGCAGGCTCCATGCTCAGCTGCCCCAACTCAGGGCTGGATCTTGTGACCCTGAGATCAGGACCTGAGCAGAAATCAAGAGTTGGGCTCTGAACCCACCCAGCCACCCTGATACCCCATAAGACTGAGGTTCTGTTCTCGAGGACCTCACATTCCAGAGGGAGATAAAGCAAGTCTCTTGAAGACTGTAGTGCCCTCATGGTAGTCCTGCCACCATCCCTGAGGCCTCCATGCACAGAAACATCATGCCCCCAGGAATCTTGCCCCCAGCCCCTTGACCACAAGTCTGCCTTAGCAGTCCATGCCAATAGCACATCCTGAACCTCTTTATGACAGTGCCACTCCGTCTTCACCATCTTATTTCCCTTTTTTTTTTTTTTTTCACCATCTTATTTCCAAGCATTCACCTCTGGCCACCTCCTTTATTCCTTCCAGCCTACTTCTTCTAGCTGGCCCATAAAGTTCCACCTCAGCTACACTGACCTCCATGACCCTTTCCTTCCCATCGGTGCAGTTGCTGTCTGCCATACCATCCTTGTCTGACTTCAATTCTTTGCCCCACCAATGGAGCAACCCCCTGATGTTCCTCTCTTCTTCTGTCTTATCTGTCTGGCAAAGTGCTCAGCCTCGGGTGAACCCAGCTCCCCTCCATGCCTGCACCCTGGCAACGGCCATGCCCAGAGAACTTCACATAACCAGGCTGACCATATTCTCTCAAGCTGTGATCTTAAAGCTCAGATAAACAGCCTCTCCCAAGAGACCCTACATCCCAGAGTGGGTTTTTCCCTTCCCGAGACCTTCTCACTTTCTCCTCTCCATCCCTACCCGTTCTCATCTCAAAGAAATCCTGGAGAAATCACAGCTGACAGAAGTGAACACCCACAACCTCCCACCACCACTTCACTGACTAGTGCACCAGCAGCCACACTGTCTCCCTCCAGCCAGACAATGACAGAAGTGTCTGCTCCACAGCTGGCAAGCCCTGACCCCAGTGCCTCTCCCAGTTTAGCAAACTGAGCCATCCCCTCCCCTCAGCCCATAAATCCCACCACCATCATCCTTTCCAGCAGCATGCAAACATGCTCCATAATTTCACATCTATTTTTCTAAGATTTTACTTATTTGATGGAGAGCGAGAGAGCAAGCAGGAGGAGAGGGAGAAGCAGACTCCCCGCTGAGCAGGGAGCCCAGATGATGCAGGGGCTCGATCCCAGGATCCCGGGATCATGACCTGAGCCAAAAGCAGATGCTTAACCACCTGAGGGCCCCCCGGCCCCCCAATTTCACATCTTTAAAGGAAACTTTTGACCTCTCCTGCTTCAGCCATCTCCCTGTTCCCTTTTCCTCATCACAGTGAAACTCCTCAAAAGAGTCGTTGATTGCTTTCATTTCCACTTTCTCCTACTCTCCCTTTAGCCAACTCAAGTCTCCCCATGGTCCCCACTGATCCATTACATCGCTCTTATTGGGATCATCAACTTGCTTCGTCCCCAAAACAAAAGCAACATGGCCTCCCCAACTTCTCAGCAGCTCCTGACATCCCTTCTTAAAACACCATCTTCACCTGATTTTCCTCCCTCCCCACAAATCTCTCCTTTCCAGCTTCTTCTGGCTCCTTGCCTGCTAGAGTTCTGCCTGGGGCTCTGGCTTCAGACACAGTGCAGCTCAACCCTGGCTCCACACAGAATCACCTGGAGCTTTTTTAAAAATACTCACACCTGGGCCTGCACTCAAGGGCTGAGATTTCATCAGTCTAGGTGAGGCCTGGGCACCAGTGTCCAGTTTTTCAATCTCCCAGATGATTCTGGCATGAGTCCAAGGTGGAGAACCATTGCCCTAAGCGAGGCAATTCTGTCTCCAGATCTCACAGACCATCTAAATGCTCACAACTCCCAAAGGTATATCTCAGCACAGACCTGTCTCCCTGAACTCCAGATTTAAGAATCCAACTGCACACTAGACTTCTGGAGGTCTGAAAGACTTCTCTCCAAATGCAATGTGTGAAAGGAGGTTGTGGGCAGTGGGGTTCTGTGCAGTGCTGACCACAGAGAGAAAAGTCTGGATGGATGTTGTTGTTAGAGTCATGGGAAGGTAGATTTTGGCCCCACTTAAGCGGGGGAGTGTCTTCTCTATGACAGGGAGAGTCTTCCCGTGATCTATCAGGCTGCCTGCCATAAAGCAAGCTGAGATCAGGAGGCTCCCCAGTCAGGTTGGCTGCAGCAAGGACCCCACTACCCCACAGGGCAAGCCAGCCCTTCACAGCCCAGTAAATCCCAGGACACACCGAAGGTCACCCAGAGAATTAGGGTCATGGCCAGAACTGGAACCTAGGACTCCGGGTCTCTGGTCTGGCATGCTTTTGTATTACAGATCTAAGCCCCTTTGGTTTATGGCAGTTTTTGTGAGATTCCAATCAGCCTATAAAAGAGAAAGTCTGCGGGGCAGCCTCGGTGGCCCAGCGGTTTAGTACTGCCCTCAGCCCGGGGTGTGATCCTGGAGACCCAGGATAGAGTCCCACGTCAGGCTCCCTGCATGGAGCCTGCTTCTCCCTCTGCCTGTGTCTCTGCCTCTCTCTCTCTCTCTCTCTCTCTCTCTCTCTCTCTCTCTCTGTGTGTGTGTGTGTGTCTGTCATGAATAAATAAATAAAATCTTAGAGAGAGAGAGAGAGAAAGTCTGCAGATCTCCAGGATTCTAGGGCCTCATCCTGGAGGTGCAGGTGTTGTGGACACTAGAGGGCACTGTGTCCTAGCCTGGGGCCTATTCCTCCCCTTGGGCTACTGTTGCAGGGAACATTGGTGGCTTCATTCAGGCCTGAGCCTTGCACAAGCCAAGGAATGGGACCCTAGGGTCATCTGCTGGAGGACTGCCAGGACCCCCAGGCTGCCACTTGTTCCTTATTCATTTGCTGTTTCACTTTCTCCATCCTCCCTTCATCTATTATTCACATCCACTGTGTACAGGCACTGGGGAAATGGCGGACAAGACAGACAAGTCCCTGTTCTAATGGGACTGACATTCTAATGAGGACAAAAGACAATGAAGAAACAAGCACCTGATATGTCAGATGGTGGTAAGTGCTACAGGGAAAAATAAAGCAGGGTAAGGGACTAAGTGCCCAATGTGAGTGACGTGTCAAGGGGCTATTGTTTTAGATAGGATGATCAGGGAAGGCCCCTTGGAGGAGGCAACACTTGAATAAAGTGAGAGAGCATGTTGTTCAGATATCAGGGGAAACTCTTCCAAGCAGAAGGAGCTACAACTGCAAAGTCCCTGAGGCAGGAACAGCAAGGAGACCAGAGTGACTGGAGTAGAGTGACCAAGGAGGAGAGTGGTAGGAAGTAGATCCAGCTTATTAATGTCATGTACATCTTAAGGACCTTAGTTTTATTTCAAGTGCAACATGAGCCCACTGGAATGCTAAAAGCTGAGGGTGTCGTGGTGTGATCTCCGCTTTAAAAATATCACCTTAGCTGCTGCATAGACTCTGGATTAGGTAAGGGTGGAAGGAGGAAGATCTTTTAGAAGACTGTTAAGGTGTCCAGCCACAAGACAAATGGCTAAGACAACAGTTTACAGCAGTGACCAGATATGGAACATATTCTCTAGGTAGAATTTGCAGAATCTAGGGTAGAACAGAGAAAGGAAAGATAATGTCATAGTTGATGCTGGATCAGGTGGATGGATGAATGGTGATGCCATTTACTAAGGTGAGGAAGAAGTTAGGGAGGTGGAAAATCACAGGTTTAAATTAGGATATAATGAATCGAGGTATCTAGACCTCTACACAGAGGTTGGATAGGATGTCGGATATCAGAGCCTGGAATTTGGGGAGAGAGGTCAAGACTGGGCATGTAACTTGGGAGTCCTTAGCATATAGATGTTATTGATAGTCACAGGACGAGATGGAATCCCAGTGAATGAATGTAGTCAGGGAACAGAACATCTCATGGTCACGTCAGGAGGCAGATGCGGAGCTGCCAAAGGAGGTGGAGAAGGAATAGCCAGTGGCACAAGGAGGTCTGAAGCCAGGGGCAGGGGAAAGGCACCTGAACCAGTGCTACTCCCAGGCAGGGTAAAAGGACAGCTGAGAAATCCCCACTGACTTGGTACCCTTGAGGTCACTGGAGACCCTGAGAAGAGGGAATTAATTCAGAGGACTGGTGGAATCAATGGCCTGACTGGAGCAAGTTCAAGAAAGAGCAGGAGGAAAGCAAATGCATACAGGGCTATAGACAACTCCTTTGAGAAATTTTACTCTCAAAAGGAGTAGAATAAAAGAGCAATATTTGGAGGGGAGGTGGAGTCAAGAGAGAATTTCTTTAAAGATAACTTTTTAAAAAAGATTTTATTTATTCATGAGAGACACACAGAGAGAGGCAGAGGGAGAAGCAGGCTCCCTGCGGGGAGTCAGATGTGGGACTCAATGGGTCAGGGACTCCAGGCAGGATCAGGACCTGGGCGGAAGGCAGAGGCTCAACGACTGAGCCACCCAGGCGTCCCTTTAAAGATAACTTTTCCAGAAGTTTGTGTAGTGGGAGGAATGACGCAGGAGGAGAGGATAATGTGATGACGGCAGAGTGGGGGGAGAAGAGCAGCAACCATGCCCTAGAGGGAGCTGAGGGGTCGACGCCCACTCACTCACCCACACCCTGCCGTTTCTGCTCAGTTTTCCCTGTCACCTGTGCTAGCTGCCCGGGATGACCATAGGGACAAAGTGGGGACTCTGACACCCCTGCTAAAGTCGTCCTGTTACATCCGCACTGCAGGCGCTGCCTTCTCAGGAATAGAGTACCGGGCAACAGACCATTTCAAGAGTGTGGGGTCGTTGCAGGGCTGCCCGGAGTCAGGAAGTGGAAGGGCCCAAAGGTCAGGCTCAGAGCCAAGCCAGGGGCTCCCTGCAACTCTGTCTGCCCCTGCCATTATTTTCTGCCTTCTGTAGAGGGTTCTACAAACCTAGCTTCCAGATTCCCCTGTCCCACCTCAACGGACCCCACCTCGAGACGCTCCACACCCATAAGTCACTCCGATTTAAAAATTCTGGAGTCGCGGATGGCTTGCACCTTATGCCAACCAATGCCTATCTTCACGAGGGACCTGCAAGGCGAGTATTATTGCCCCATTTTTCCGAGGAGGAAACCAAGATTCAAGATGTCCAGGTCTGTTTGATTTCCAAGGCCGCTTTCTTTCGGCTCTGCCAGAGGAGGCGCAAGCGGCTGGGCTCGCTGCTCGCTGACTCCCAAACTAGGCGAGCAGCAGCCCAGACCCCGCCCCACCAGGGGTCCCGGCCCGGGCCTTCCAGCTCGAAGCAGAACGGGACTCGGTGATTGGGCGGGGCGGGAGGGTTGGGCGGGGCTTCGCCGCCGCAGGAGGCCGGTCGCGGGCGGGACTTCGGCGGGGCGTGGCCTCCGACCCCGCCCCCTTCCGCGGGCTCAAAGCGGGCGGCGGCCGCGGAGGCGGGGTCAGAGCCCGGCGGCGGATCCCAGCGCGGCTCCTCGGGGCCGGCCACCGAGCGGCGCCTCGGCGGGGCGGAGCAGGTACTGGCGACCGCGCGGGGCGTCTCGGGCTAGGCCAGGCCGAGGGCGGGAGCCTGCGAGGGACCGCGAAGGGCAGTGGAGTCGAGGCCGCGCCGCGCTGCGCTTCCTCCCGCGAGCCTGGGCCCCCGCCCCCGCCCCCGCCCCCGCCTTCCTGTGGCGAAGCCCGCCGCGGCCCGGGCTGGCTGGCGCCTGCGCTGCTCCCTGCGCCCGGGACTCGGCCAATGCAGGGGCCTGGGGCGGGGGAGGGACGGGGGAAACTGAGTCACGCCGGGATAGTGTTGGGCCTGTGTGGGAGGGGCCACCCCCACAGGGCTCCTGATTGAATCCCCTCCCTGGCCACGCTCTGGGGTCCTAGACCTCACCGATCTCCACGGGGGCCGCGGCCCCGCCCGGTCGCCCCCAGAGCACAGGAGCCCTCATCAGCTTCCACCCGCCCGGGAGTGGCTAGGACCCGCTCCAGCCGCCTCCCTTCCACCCCTCCCCCTCGCGTCCCGAGCCCCCGAGCGTTCCCTCCGCCGGCTCCGCACAGTGTCAGCTTACACGCCTTATATAGTCCGAGCGGGCCTCGGCGCGGCCTGCCTGTCAAGCCCCGGGGGCGGGGGAGAGGACCGCCGGCCGACTCACGGCCGACTCACGGCCGACTCACGCGCTGTCTGTCCGAGGCTTCAGACGGGCTTTGAGGGGAGACCGTGTCAAATTAGCCCTGCAGCCCGTTTCTGAATGAAAAGAACTTCGACTGAATGAGGGGAACCCCTCATCATACCAGTCCCCGGGGAAGAGGGGTTGCCCCGACTTTTCCAGATTGAGGTCTGCCAGCCAGAAACCCAGCGACACCTGACAAGGTGCCCACCTACCGATGCCCTGGCTGTGTCCAGCGGCCGCTCGTGCCTGCCTGGCACCAGTCCAAGGCTGGTGTCTAGAGCTGGGCCTGCCTGCACACCCATCATGCTGTTGGCTTACCTTTTATTTCCTCCTAGGGGCAGGCGCCATGGATTCCTTCAAGGTGGTGCTGGAGGGGCCCGCACCTTGGGGCTTTCGGCTGCAGGGGGGCAAGGACTTCAATGTGCCCCTCTCCATCTCCAGGGTGAGCCAATGTTGGGGGAGGGGCTCCCCCGGGAGTCTTTGGGTGCTCAGGTCTCTAGTGGGGGATTGGAGGAGTCTGAGCAGGAGTGAGGCAGGTACAATAGAGCAGGAGATATCTAGGTCCAGAGATGTGCTGGACCTGCCACAAGATTCCCAACTAGGTTTGTATGGGAAGAGGAGTTCCCCACCACTGCCCCATACTCGATGCCATTCCACAAAGCTCGTGGGGCCACCTCTGAGGCCCTAGGGAGATGCCGATTCTGCAGGAGGTGAGCCTGAGGTCTCTGGGAAGTATCTAAGCTGCCTGAAGGAGCAATGCTTGGAGCCAAGCCCCAGCCAGGGCACTCCTGACTGCAGGATCTCACTTCAGTCTCACTGCCACCTAGGGAATAGCAATTGTCATCTTGTTTTTCCAGATGAGGGAACTCGGGGCTCAGAGAGGTAGAGGGACCTTTTCAGTGATTCCATGGCAAAACAGGGATTTGAATTCAAGCACTGGGATGGCCTGCAGTTTGGTGGGGAGGGCAGCACTTTCCAGCTTCTGTGAGATTTCTCCATCTTCATCCACTGGTCCTATTCAGGATGCAGTGGCCTCTGACCCAAAGCAGGAGTGTGGGATGGGGCTCTAGGGTTCTAATGTCAGCTCCTGAGGGCCTGCCCTGGTAGGGGCGGAGCTAGGGGCTGGCTCCTCCTTGTGTCAGGGGATTGCCTTATAAGCCCAAGAATGCAGCCCCATGCTGGGATGGCCAACTGGTGAGCAGAGTCCGAGGAGCCGAGAAAGGCTGGCTGTAGGACTCTGAGACTCAATTTCTTCATTGGTGGGTATGAGCAACATAGTAGCCTGAGGAATGGACTTTAAGATGTGGCCTGTTGGGGGCACTCTGGTCCTGAGCACCCTTGTCAGCAGCCCTAGCTGTGGGTGGGGCCACAAGCTGAGCCCAGCCCTGGAATTGGACCTAGGCCCTGGTGGGTGGGTGGGCGGGTGGGGTGGGTTTTTCTGAGCTGGTCAGCTCCTCCCTCTCCCCTGACCCCAGGAGGGAGGGGCTAGGGCTGGCTGTGGGCCCAGGCCTGGGAGATGAGGTAATGTCTGAGACTTGGGGGTTGGGCTGCTTATTAGAGCCCTCAGGCTGACTCACCCCTACCCCATGCAGCGTCCAACTCTCTGGCTTTCCCCCTTCTTGACTACTCAGGCTGCCTTGCTTCTCTCTCCAGCCCCCCACCCCACACCCAGGGTTTTCTCCTGCTTCTCTCTCTACCTCTCTGACCACTCCTCTATCCTGTCCTCCTCACTCAGGAAAGGAAGTCATCCCCAAATCCCTACCCCTCCCTTGGAGCCAGCTACTCCTGCCCACCCCCCAAGACCTCTACCTCAGGCTTAGCCCACACCTCCCAGGAGCCAGCTTGTGTGGGTAGGGAGTGGCTGGACCAGGTTTCCCTTCTACTGACTCAGCATGACCTTGAGTAAGTCACTTCCTTTCAAGGGTATCACTTCTCTATGCTCGTTATAAGGGGTTGTTGGATTGAACTAAAAGTGATTAAGATCTATGTCCCAGACCCAGCCAGGGGTTTAGGGAGTTGTCCTAGGTGGGCTGACCTCTGACTTGGGTTCCAACACTCAGCAGAGGTAGCCTAGTGTAGTGGAGCTTTGAGATTAGGATCAGACCTAGCCTTGCGTCTTACTGAGCAGCTTGAGGCAAGTTACATAACCTCTCTGTTATTCTTGTGTGCAAAATGCATATAACCTCAGACTCCATTTCACTGGTTTTTGGAAGATTCAGTATCAGTATGTGACAATACTAGGTGCTGAATAAATGTAAGGTGCTCTTATCATTTAGCAAAGAAGGAGGCACCCAGCTGGTTTGCCCTTCTAACCTCCCAGGCATGAAATAGAGCCAGCTCTCCCTTCTTGCCCTAGTGCTGTCAGTCTCTGCATCTGGTTTCTCTGCCTTCTGGAGATCTCTCTAGAACCTCCTATCTCCCCTCTCCCAGCCTGTACAGCTCAGTCTGTAAGCCTGAGGAGCCTCCTGAGGTCATGGACAGACAGTACCTTGCAGTCCTACCCCCAACCTACGAAATGTGAATTTGCCTTCCAGCACTTCCCCATAGAAGTCTACTTCATGCCAGGCCCCTTGCCAGATGCCGAGGCAGCTCTGTGGGCTTAGACCCATGAACAGCTGCACCACCCCTTTCTAGATTGCTGCCTCTGGAGTAGAGGGCTGAGAGCGCCCAGTGGGGTTGTCAAGGTTAGATCTATCAGGGGTCTGGGAAATACCCCACTGGGACTTTCAAAGGGCTGGTGGCCAAGTCCTGGTTCTTTCATGACAATCTCACTTCATGCTGGTGGTGACCATTACTGCCAGCCCTATTACCCCTCATTTGCCACAGGAAGCAGGGATTCCCAAGGCAGAGCCCAAAAGACTGGGGGGAGAGGGTGATGTGGCAATTGAAGGCTTCGGGGTGACACTCATTGACAGCCCCAGCTGACACCATGGGTCCTCTTCAAGTGCTTCACAGGGTCCCTGGAGATGACAGGGGTCTATTCCTGGCTCTCAGAGGGTCCTGGCAGATCCCTGCAGATGGCCACAGGACAGGGTGCTGGGAGTATGAGGTGAGAGCACCTAGCAGTATCATGGAGGAACTCGCCATTTACACAAGCCAGAGGATGGGTGAAACAGCTTGGGCAGGAGGCCAGCAGGGGGCTCAGAGGCTGTGGTTGGAGCTGAGCAGCTTGGGGCCCAACCTGAAGGTGGCTGCTTGGTGATGTCATAGCATTTTCTGCACTGTAGGGAGGAGGGTCATGGGAGGTGAACAAATGACTAAACAAACGGGGAGATTGGGGTATTTGTGAAATTCAGGTGAACCCCACCCCTCCCGGATTGTTTGAGTATTCAGCAGCTGCCCAGAGATTACGTTGAATGAAGAGGCCTCCAGGTTCTAGAAGTGGAGCAGTTTAAGCAGGGTTGACTAATGTTGGCCTCAGTTTGGTCTGCAGAGGCTTGGGGTCCCTGTGACCTTCCATCTGTCTGCAGCTCACTCCTGGAGGCAAAGCTGCACAGGCCGGTGTGGCTGTGGGTGACTGGGTGCTGAGCATAGATGGCGAGAATGCAGGGGGCCTGACGCACATTGAAGCCCAGAACAAGATTCGTGCCTGCGGGGAGCACCTGAGCCTGGGTCTCAGCAGGTACAAGGGCGCCAGCCTGCTTGGCGGGTGGGGGCACCCTGAGGCCTGGCCCACTGTTACCTCTTCCCCTTCTCCTCCAGGGCCCAGCCAGCTCAGAGCAAACTGCAGAAGGTAGGCCGGGGACATCTGAGCAGTCCATCTGGGCGGTGGGAAGGGTGGGATTGGACTGCTGGACTGACTAGGCCTCCCCCGGAGCAAGGAGCCTTGTTACCCCTATCCCTGGCCGGAAGTAGAGGGTGGAGGCCAGAGCTGGGAGAGTCTGGGAAACTGGGGGTTGGGCTGGGCTCTGCCGCACGGTCTGGGCACCACGCATGTCTGCCTGTCTGTCTGCTGCCTTCCGCTGGCCTGTGCTACAAGCCTCACTCATCTTGCCCCAGTTAGTCTGCCTTTTGGCCCGCGTGGGCTTAGATCATCCCTCCCAAATGGGCCCCTTGAAACCTGAGTCCTCCCTCCCCCATGCCTCCAGCCAGATGTGTGGGTGTGGGGGTTGGAGCACCGCTGTCCTTCCCACGCGTGGGGGGGATCCCCCTTGGGCCCAGAGTTCCCTTCGCACCCCCCCACACCCCCCGGCCCCCTGCCTGCCCCCACGTCCCCCCTCCCCCGCCCTGCCCGGCTCTGTCTCCGCCCAGGCCCTGGCCCCCACCGCAGACCCCCCGCGGTATACCTTTGCACCCAGCGCCTCCCTCAACAAGACAGCCCGGCCCTTTGGGGTACCCCTGCCAGCTGACAACGCCCTGCAGCAGAATGGGTACGTCGGTCCTGCCCACCCACGCCCATGCCGCGTGCGCGCGGCCCCCCACCCCCGCCGCCCCCCCCTCCCGCCCCTGCTGCCCACTGCTGCTCAGTCTGCATTGTGCCCCAGGCTGGCTGGAACCGTGCGGCAGCGACCCCTGGTGGCCGGGGTGGGGCTGCAGGCACTGGACCCCTCTGAGGGTGTGGCTCTTGCGCAGGCGCAGCCTTCCTGGGTGCTCCAAGCCAGGCAGCGCCCCCCAACTGGTGGCCTAGGTTTGGGGTGTGGTGTCACGTAACTGAGCCCCAGACACTCAGTGCAGCCTTGCCCCTGGCTACTCTGACCCCTTACCGTTTTTCTTCCTGTGTCTGTCCCTTTGTCCCTTTATCTGTCCATCTGTCTATTTCCTTCACAGGTGCAGACCCCTGACAAGTCAGTGAGCCCCCTCTGCCTGTCCTTCTCTTCCTTCTTTTTGGCATTCTGGGCGGTGGTCCCTCCCCACCCTAGCCACCCTCATTTCCTCTCATTTAGCTCCCTCACCCCCCCACCCCCCACCCCACCCCCCTCCCAGCAGGGCCCTGGCCTTGCCCTCTCCCACTCTCCCGGCACCATAACCCACATGCACCAATCTGGGGAGGGGCTGCCCCCACTGCCCACTCCTGCATGAGGTTCTGAGCCACACCCTCCCCACAGACAGCCGCTCCGGCCGCTGGTCCCAGATGCCAGCAAGCAGCGGCTGATGGAGGACACAGAGGACTGGCGGCCTCGGCCCGGGACAAGCCAGTCCCGTTCCTTCCGCATCCTTGCCCACCTCACGGGCACCGAGTTCAGTAAGTGCCAGCCCAGGGCAGGGCAGACTCTCCTGCTGGCCCCTGGCCTGGGCCTAGGCTCAGCTGGAGCCTGCTCTGGTGCCCTGTGACCTTCTGCCAGGGCTCAGGGCTGGGGTGGCCCTCTGTCTTCTCTCGGTCAATGCCTGCCTCTGCTCTCTCAGTGCAAGACCCGGATGAGGAACACCTGAAGAAATCAAGGTAAAAGGATGGACAATAGCCCTTCTTTCTCACCTCCTGCCTCTCCCATTCCAGCCACTGCCCTGTGTCTGCACCTGAGGGTCCGCCTCCAGGGCTATTTTCCTCCTTTCCTTCCTTCCTTCATCCCTCCCTTCCTCCCTTCAATCTCTCCTTCTACTTCTTCCTCCTTCTTTCTCTGCCCCCCAGGGAAAAGTATGTCCTGGAGCTGCAGAGCCCACGCTACACCCGCCTCCGGGACTGGCACCACCAGCGCTCTGCCCACGTGCTCAACGTGCAGTCATAGCCCGGCCCTCACTGGCCGGCTACCCTCTCTGCCTCTCTCTTTCTGTTCCTCCCACCGGGGCACCCCCTCCCCTGGCCACTGCAGCTTCTGCCTACCTCACCCACTCTTTTCCTGCCCCTGGACTGAGCCTCTTGCTGGCCTGGCAGAGGGCCTGGCTCTGTCTGACACTGCCTCCCCTCCTTGCCCTACAGTATTACTGTCTGCCAGGTCTGTGCTGGCTGAAGCATGGAAATAAACATTCTCAGCCTCGCTTTCTCTGCCTCTGCCTTCTATCTTTGTGGGCTTGATTTGTTTTGGCTCTGGGGGTATTACATGGTTCAGACCTGGTGTGGGCCATGCCAGTCTGGGTCTCAATGAGGGGTGGTACCTGACAAAGGGGACCCTGCCATCAGAGCTAGATCTCTGGGATGAGGAAGCCCCAAGAGCTGCCCCAGAAGGGAGCACACTCCCTCCATCTCCCAGCTCTGTACAATAGACCTGCCGGCTGGTCTAGGAGACACTGCCCTACCCCTACCTACTCCTCTGGGACCTGGAGTCCAGCCCAGCAGCTCTCATGCACCCAAGCATTTCCCATGGGGCCAGCAGGCCCAAGGTTGGGGGGTGGGGCCATGCCAGGAGCTTCAACCATACAGGGCCTTGAACTGCAGATCTTGCAGCCAGGTGCCCAGGACAGAAGCCCCAGCCCCAGCCTCAGCTACACCCCAGGAACCCTGGCCTGGTGAGAGAGAGTGGGCTTGGGCCTGGGGAAGGGTGGGTAGCCTCCAGGGGCATGCAGGTGGGGGAGGCCCCTCCAAGCTGACCCTGGCTCAAACCCTTGGCCTTTGGGGTCGCTGGGCACCTCCTTGGAACCACTTTCCTTGGCCTCGGCAGGCCCTACCACCCTCAGCCCCACCAGCCGCCCACCCTGGGCCGTGGATCCTGGATTTGCTGAGCGCTATGCTCCGGACAAGACCAGCACGGTGCTGACCCGGCACAGCCAGCCAGCCACACCCACACCTCTGCAGAACCGCACCTCCATCGTGCAGGCAGCCGCCGGAGGGGGCACGGGAGCAGGTGGTGGCAACAATGGCAAGACTCCCGTGTGCCACCACTGCCACAAGGTCATCCGGTGGGTGGCCTGTTCCTTTGCTACTCTGACCTTTTCCATCCTGAGGCCTGGCCCTGTCATCTTTCCGACCTCTGCGCCCCAGACTCTCTCCCCACTCATCTCAACTGTCACTGTGGGAGGATAAGGATTTAGTTTCCAGTTGCATTTGGGGGCAGGGACCTGGCCTAGGTCCTCAGATTCTGCATCGTTTCCCCCATCCCACCCCACCCCACGTCGGCCTCTATCAGTATTTGCCCTGCTGAAATGGAGGAAGTGCCAACAACACACCCAAGCTGCACCCCTAGAATGGCCGCTCTCTGGGCAGGGAAGGGCCTGTGTTCCCCCCCCCCCCCCCGTCCCCGCTCTCCCTCCTGTTCACCTGTTCTCTGCCAACCCTCAGCTCTCAGAGCAGACAGGCCAAAGGCCCCTCCCTCTCTGCACTATTGCCTTAGACCCATCAGGGTCATACAGTACCCCCGGAGTCAAGTGTGCTGGCTCCTAAGAACCTTGCTAGTTCTCAGCTATGGTCCTGCATGGCTCTTGACTCCTGTCAGCTCTTAGGCTCTGCAAAGAACCCCCTTCTTGAGACACCCTCATTTATGTGGGACCTGCCGGCCCCTCCCCAGGCCAGATGGACTAGGCAGGTGAGATAGGGTGGCACCGGGGTGGGCTCAGTTACCCCCTGGTGTTCAGATCCAATAGGCACTCTGGGCCTCCTGCCCCAGGGCACCAGTTCCTCTGGTTTGTCTCATTAGGCCCAAGTCAGCAGCCCCCACCAAGTGTAATCCTCCTTATTCCAACACTGCCTCTGTCACTCATTTCTTGTCATCAAAGCAGTGCAACTACATCACTGTGTCAACACTCGGGTCACCTCCCAAGCCTATTTCTCCTTTATTTGGAAAATGGGGAGAATGCATTTCCCTTCAAGGCTTCAAAATAGGTGTTCCCTAAACCCACTTGGGCTCTGGCTTGGCCCCCTCCCTCATTTGCCTACACTCCCTCTTACTGCCCTCACCTCCCCCTCAGGGGCCGATACCTGGTTGCACTGGGCCATTCGTACCACCCCGAGGAATTTGTGTGCAGCCAGTGTGGGAAGGTCCTGGAAGAGGGCGGTTTCTTTGAGGAGAAGGGTGCCATCTTCTGCCCACCCTGCTATGATGTGCGCTATGCACCCAGCTGTGCCAAGTGCAAGAAGAAGATCACAGGCGTGAGTGGGGCTGGTGGGTGGGTGGGTGGGAGGGTGAATCTGACTCTGTCAGTATCAAAAGATTACTACAGAGGAACTCAGGCCTTGGGCCTCTCCCCTCATGAGTCCTTTGGATTCTTAGCATCTTAATAAACAGGATGCAATATTAGCCTCATTTTATGTTAACCAAGATCCTCCTCACAAATAACTAAAACCCTACTCAGAGGGGCTCCAGCAAACGAGAGTGTCCAAGTGTCCCTGGCTCTCTGAAAGTAGAGTGTTCTTGTGGAAACTTTCACAAGCCGAAATAGCATAAAGTGAAGAAGCAAGTACTGTTAATTCATATGGAAGGAAATCTGAGTGTTCCCAGACCCAAAAAATAATCTCTTATACATTCTTCTGATACCTGAGGACACATCTTGCTCACAGATGCACAAAGTAAATTGAGAGAAAGCACAGATGCTCACAGACACAGCTTGGAGCTGTGGTGGCCTGGTGCTGGGTGGCCTGATGCTGGGGTGGTGCGGTGCTGGGGTGCTCTGGTGTGGGGTGGCCTGGTGCTGGGTGGCCTAGTGCTGGGATGACACAATGCTGGGGTGGCCTGGTGCTGGGGTGGCGCGGTGCTGGGGTACAGAGTGTGGCTCCCAGGGCACTTGCTCCGGTAAGGGGCACGTACCACCTCTGTAGTGGCTCACTGCAAGACAAATGCTGAACACTCTTTTTCACTTTTCACCTTTTTTTGGTAAAAGCAAAATTCCTTTTCATATTTCTTTCAGTTAATGGGTCTGTCACAAAAGCAAAGTGGTATAATACTTACTTTTGAAAAGTGGGAGGTATATGTGCTTGTTCAAACAGTCAGAAAGCCCACGGGGCACTACCTCCAAGCCCAGGTCATCGTGCAGGTCTTGAAGCCATCAGGACTTTTCTCATCACTTGCCTCTGCTTTTATCTGTGTTAGCTTCGTTCCCTGCACACTTTTCCTTGGAAGGTGGCAAAGATGGTGCCATGGTGGCTCCAGGGTTACATCTCCCCAGCCTAGCACTACAGAGAGAATAGAAGCACCCCTGTGCCGGCTGGCGCAGTGAGGGTCCCAGTGCTGGTGTTCACTGGAATAGCTTGTGTCACATGCCCATCTCTAAACCAAGACTAGCCAGGCCTGGGGGGCATCCACCAAAGCAGTGGTCAGGTGGTCCCACCCAAACCACAGACAGAGGGAGGAAGGATTGGTTCCCTGAAATAAAACGTTACCTGAAGAGGGTAGGTCCACCCTGATCATGGTGGCTGTCAGTGGGCTTACATTCATCTACAAGGATAAAACCTCAACAAAACAGGTTATTTACTTCAGTCACAAGCATTCCAGCTCAAGGATGTCCTTAGGCTTTTCCTGCTATTGGCTCCAAAATGCTTAGCAACTTGTAAAGCCTTGTCCCCAAGCCTATTTTATCTTGGTTGCCAGCCCCAGGCCTTATATTCTTGTTGCAGACAGAAAGGAGAGGGAAGAGCCAAATGGCATTATTTTAACAAGGTTTTGTTTTTGACTCTGGAAGAAAAACTGGGAACTTGCATCTTTATCCCAGTGTTTGGCATTGTTATCCTAGGAGCACCTGGACTGCAGGGGAAGTTGGCAAACCCAGTATCTTAGACTTCATCTCCTGTAAGCGAGGAAGGCAAAAAGGAAGGGGGTTGTGACAGGCTTTGAGGCTAACCCACAGGATCTGCCATTTCCAGTGCACGAGAGGACAGAAGATCTGAAAGATAACTCAGCGTTCCTGGAGGGCCTAGGACTATGCAGTGGTGAAGTCAGAAATCCAGACACAAATTTCTTTCTTTTTTTTTTTTTAGATTTTATTTATTTATTTATTTATTTATTTATTTATTTATTTATTTATTTATGAGAGAGAGAGAGAGAGAGAGAGAGAGAGAGAGAGAGAGAGGCAGAGACACAGGGAGAGGGAGAAACAGGCTCCATGCAGGAAGCCCGATGCAGGACTCGATCCCCGGGTCTCCAGGATCACACCCTGGGCTGGAGGCGGCGCTAAACCGCTGAATCACCCGGGCTGCCCCAGACACAAATTTCTGATCAAACTCCTGTTCTTCCCACTAAGGCTGAACACACAGCAGAGCCTGGCCATGTTTTCTGCAGGGCAACCTAGATGCTGGTGGGAACCAGGCTTGGGACTTGGGTCAGTATGTCATGAGCAAAGAGGGAAGGGCCATCTACCTTCTTCCCCCATTCGTTCTCTTATTAAATGTGGACGGTGTGCCACATAGTGCCCCATTCTCCAGGACACCTCATGAAGTAACAGGTTTGGGCCCCGCCCCCAGGAGCACCTAGTGGCGGGGAGGACTCAGAGGGTGCCAGGGGTCAAGGCACAGCCAGAGGAAGCAGGGGCAGAACAGGCAGGGCGAAAAGCTAAAGGAGTTCCTGTCGCCAATGTATGGAAACTGAAGCCCAGAGGGCCAGAAACTGCCCAAGGCTGCACAGGATGAGGGCTAAGCTGGTGTGGCCCCAGGACTGTTGACTCCCAGCTTGGGCTCTTCCTGACATTACTGCTTCTCCTATTTCTAGATACAGAGCTGTCAAATGTGGCCAGGGAGCCCCGTGGTAATGTTCATATCAGTAAGGAGAACCTTGACCACGAGCGGTATAAAACTCAAAACACTGGCTGCTTATTTCCCACCTAAGAAAGTGCAGAGGTGGGCATTCTGGGACTAACAGGCAGATCTGGTTTTCTGTATCTTGTTCCTCAGCTATTCTTAGCACAGGCTTACTTAACACTTATAGTCCAACATGACTCTTGAACCTCAACTAAAATTGCCACGTTTCAGCCAGCGGGAAGCCAGAAGGGGATGAAGGGATGGAGGGCCTATGGCAGCCATCTTGAGAAGATGCTGCCACCCAATGCTATGCTTCCATCCCATTGGCCAGATCTCAGTCACATGACCATACTGAGCTGCAAGAGAGGCTGGGAAAGACCAGCTATTTGGGGCAGCCATGTGCCCGGCAAAGAATGGAGATTCCATCAGTGGACAAGAAGGGGGGAATGGGTATTATCACAGTCTTTGTCATTGTAATGACAGTTTGTGTTGTGGGGCACTTACAGTGTGTGGGTATCCAGCTTCACAGTCCTATAGGAAGTCAGTTTGGTTATTTCCAGCTTCCAGGTGAGGGAATTTTGGCCCAGATCACAGTCATTTCCCTGCCAGCCTGGGCCACACCCTATTGGACTGCTCTAAGAGAATGGGCTGGATCCCAGGACCTTTCTTGAGCTGGATGTCCACAAATCAAGGCCATTCTGTTCGAGGACTGCCCTGTGTTACACTGCACTCTTGTCCTGCTGCACCTGTCCTGAGTGGACAGTGTTATCACCCAGGCACAGATGAGGAGCCAAGCCTTATTTATAGGGCCTGGCTGGTTCCCAGGTCCTGGAGTAAGCCTTGGATGGCAAACCTCTCCTACCCAGCCCAGGGTAATGTTCCCCAGAGGCCCAGGGGCCCCTAGCTTCTCCTCTTGCAGGGACTCACAGCCTGACAAACACTAGAAAGCCCTCACCTCATCCTGGGGGTAAGGTAAGGGGGAGAAGCCTTACCTGCCCTGCAAGGAGTGCCGTTCCCTGTCAGCACCCGGAGCTCAGAACTGTGCCTGCCCTGGGAAATCAGCATGGAACATGGGGAGAGAAACATGGAGCAATCAGATAGTTTCAGTGGAGTTGGAAGGAAGCTGCAGAGCGTGAGGGACACATTAAAGGTGACCTACCCTGGTTTGTGGACCATTAGAAACCCCATGTTCTTAAGGCTCACCTCTCACCACTAGCCCCTCTCCAGTGCTCCAGCCATGTGGGCCACTTCATTTTGCCACTGTGCTATTTCTCTTCCCACAGGGCCCTTGCAGAGTCTGTCCTCTCTAGGAATACTGTTTTAGCACCCTCTGTACCTTGTTCCTTCTCATGTGGGTCTCCTATCATTTCCTCAGGAAATGATATCCACCTTCTCTGATATCTACTCTTTCACCAGGCCAAGTCCCCCACAGTTTGCTCACTAAGCCCCAGTCTTTTGTCCCATCTTTCCCCAGGTGTGAACTCCATGTGCTGGGGCCAGGGCTATTTTGCTTTATATTGTGCTCCACATATAGGAGGCAATCAGTGAATGTTTGAAGGAATGGATGAAAGTGCTCTCTAAGCTGAACTTTATTTTATTTTTTTTCTAAGCTGAACTTTAAAAATTAGTAGGAATTAGCTTAGAGAAGGATCGGGAGAGAGTACTCCAAGCAGAAGGAATAGCTTGTGTCACAAGGTAACACCTGAGAAGGGTGTGAGATGAAGCAGAAGAGGTGAGTGGGGGCTGTGTTAGGAGTTTGGAGCTGAGGCTGATGAGGCTGATGAGGTCAGCTATGCTGCAGCAAGCTTCCTCTGGGCAAGGGGAGAGAGAAGGGGAACAGGGCCTGGGTCAGGGCTGTGGAGATAAGAGAGGCAGATTTAGGAAATAAGGGCATCAAATAAATATTGATAACTGGCTTCCAAGTTCTTCAGAATACCAGCAGAAAGCTGCCTCTCTGCTCACACATACACTGGACCCACCTCTGGACACCCCAAGTTTTTGCCCAAGCCCCCTGTCCTACCAGCTTGCAGCCAGGTTCCTGTCCCTGGAGCTTTTGTCTACTTCTTGAAAAGAGGCAACATCAGGCAACAGGAAGAGCCAGCTTTGGAGTAGCTGGACTTGAGCATAGAACCCATTTCTGCCATCTGTTGACTATGTAACCTGGTGCAGTTCGTTTTCCCTGGGCCTCGCTAAAATGATGTCAGTAACTTCCTGGCCAGGGTGATTGTGAGGTGTATGTGAGATATGACATAGATGCAGAGGGCACAGATGGGCCATCTGAGAGCTACATGCTGCCCATGTGTCTTGCTTGGTATACAGTTTCATTTTAAATTAATGGGCAGTATTTGAGAATCAGATTTCACTTCAACAGCTAGATTTCAACCTGAGCCTTCCAGGCTTCGCTCTATGAACTGGTCACCACCATCCCTACAGGCAGAAACAGGTGCTCCCCAACTACACCTTGCCCCATTGAGTCCACTACCTGCCCTCAGCAGGCATGGAGTCTGAGACCCCCAGCCTCAAATCTAGGGCCATCCTTACAACAACCTTCAAGGCTGGGATTAGGTTCCCAGTTCACAAGGGAAGGAACCAAGTGTCAAGAGAGGGTGATGTCATTGGCCAAGTTACCTAGCTAAGAAGCAGAACCTGGTGGGACCCACAGATCTGGCCCACCCTGAAGCCCCACACTGCCCTCTGCCTGTTCTAGATCTGAATACTCCCGGCCCTGGTTGGCTCAGAGGTCCCCAGGATTGACAGCCCAGGCCCAGGGAGTACACAGAACGCCCCCACCCCCAGCCTCTGCTTCCTCCCCAGTCCAGTGGAGCAGGTTAATTCCCGAACATTTGTTGATGAGCACCCCTGGGGATAGGCACTGTTGCACTATATCAGCTCCTAGAACAGTCATGTCTCATTCCCTCCTGGACCTTACATTTGAGTAGGAAGAAGGGAAGAGAGGAAGACGATAAGCAATAGATACAATAAGTAAATCATCTGCTGCTGTGTTAGTAAGAGCTGTTAAGCATTGAGAACAGAGTTAAAGGTGTTGGGAATGTGGCATTGGAAGAACAGATTGGAAGTATTAACTGGTGGTGTCAGAACAGGCCTCATGGAGAGGGGGACATTGAAGCAGAAACTTGAAGGCAGTGAGCAGTGAGACTTGGGATGTAACAGGGGTACACAGCCCAGACAGGGGGGACAGCCGGTGTGAAGCCCCAAGAGTGGCATGCTGGGTGCGTCAGCCATGGGCAAGAGGCCACGTAGAGAGAGCAGAGGATACATAGGCCAGAGGGAAATGTAGGGTAGGCAGGGATTCAAGCAGAGGGGAATGTGGATTTGTTCTGGTTGATATCTGTCTGAAGGGGCAGAAGGAGGAGCTCAGAGGTCAGTTTTGTACAGTCACTCAAGCCAGGGATCTGAGGCCTACCTCCCACATGAGGGAGGCAGTGAGAATTGGTCAGGTTTGGATGCATCTTGAAGGCGGACCCAACAGGAGTTCCTGGCAGACTTGTTGTGGCATATGAGATAAAGAGGGGCATCTCAGCTGAGCAAATGGAAGCATGGAGTTGCCATCAACTGAGATAGGAACAGCTGTGAGAGAGGCAGGTTTGGGGTGTAGAGGTTATGAGCTGAGCTTTGGACATGGCAAATCTGAAAGACATGGTGGACATCCATGGGGAGACCTCAGCGCCAGAGATAGAGTAGGAATGGTGGTTGTGCAGATGTAACATTTACCATGGGAAGGAAGAGGGCCCACGGCCAGCCTTCCTGTGTCCCCAGCTCTGGAGAGGAGGGGCCAAGCTGCCTGGTGACTGTAGCGTCCTCCTAGGAGATCATGCATGCCCTAAAGATGACCTGGCACGTGCATTGTTTCACCTGTGCGGCCTGCAAGACACCCATTCGGAACAGGGCCTTCTACATGGAAGAAGGGGCACCGTACTGCGAGCGAGGTAGGGGATGGTTGAGGGGGGCACAGGTAAGGGGTAGGGTGCGGGGCAGGTGAGAACCTAGCCCCCCCCCCTTTGCCTCCATCCTCAGACTATGAGAAGATGTTTGGCACGAAATGCCGGGGCTGTGACTTCAAGATCGATGCTGGGGACCGCTTCCTGGAGGCGCTGGGCTTCAGCTGGCACGACACTTGCTTTGTGTGTGCGGTGAGTGCCCCCAACCTTGGACTCGGGTCCTACCCCCTCGCCCTGTGTTCCTCACCAGCCTCCCTCCCACTCCCTGCCTCTGGAATTCATGAGAGTTGGGAAAGGGGCTCTACTGCCACCCCCCATCCCCACGTGGCTTGACCTTGGCTGTCCTCAGATATGCCAGATCAACCTGGAAGGAAAGACTTTCTACTCTAAGAAGGACAAGCCCCTCTGCAAGAGCCATGCCTTCTCCCATGTGTGAGTCCCTCCTGTCCACTGCTGCCTCATCCAGCCCAGCCAGAGGGAGCTCCAGTTCTGGAGTCATCGGCCCAGATTTCTGGATAGGGCTGGCAAAGGTCACCCCAACCCCAACTCCTGGCCTGAGCCTGGGGTTCCCTGGGCCCTGCCCCATCCCCTTCATTTCCCCGCACTGCCTCCATTTCCTCCCACTCCCTCCACACACTGGTGCTGACCACACCAACCCCTGCTCACATCCACTGCCACAATAAAGCTGTATCCAGCTGTGTCCTGCATGTGCCTCTACCTGTGCATAGGAGAGGTGGGATTTGAGGCACACAGCAGGGTGGAGGTCAAGCTGGTTTTCCCAGGGCTGGCCACCCTGGTCACCCTAGTGATGGGGACTTGGATAGCACATGGTCAGTGGGAAAAGATAAAGGGAGATCCCCTTTGCTGGGCCCCAGCACCCACACAAGTGGGGGTGCCTGATATGGACTGGCTCGGAGGTACATCTGCAGAGATGGGAAGGGAAAAACAGTGACAGCCAGGGTGAAGGCCCAGAGGCATCAGCCCAATGCCACAGCAGAGCACCCCCCCCCCCAGCAGAGCACAGCCCCCAGGTCCTGGGAGGCCACAAGTGACCAGCGAAGGAGCTGGACTGTATCTTGTGGGTGGGGTGGGAGTGGCAGGGCACAGAAGAGTATGAAACAGTGAAGCAGCCAGTTCAGATCTGTATTGTAAAAGAGCTCTGAGAGCTGTGAGCAAGGAGGACAGAAGGAGAGGGAGTCGGAGGAAGGGCAGGGGCCACGGAAAGGGAGGAAAAGAAAGTGACTTGGTAGAGATGGGACCCGGTGACAAGTCCCAGGGGCCTGAAGGATGAGGGGTGAGGAGGGGCATGAAGGCAACTCTGCTCTGCATCTGGAATATACCAGCCATTGCTCACATCATCTCATGCCATCCTCCCAGCCACCCCGTGAGGCATCTACCCTTACTGTAGAGATGGCAGGTTAGGAGACCTAAGTTTTCAGAGCTCCTGAGCCACTAGCCAGGCTAGATGCCAGACCTGCAGATGGCCACATGGGCCTGGACTGGCTGGCACTGAGCACCCTTCATCAGCAAGTGCCCCTTGGAAGCTCCCTTCTGCCTGCTGTCTCAAAACTTGGAGGCTCTGGTGGTGGCCCTATCCTTCTCTGGAGCTTCCTGCTGCCGCCTGATGCCCCCACCATCATAGGAGAATTATCATCTCTCTCTCCTCAAGCGTGGACAGGAGAGAGACTCAGGAGAGGGCCCCAACTCGGGCCAGGACAGCGTGGCCTGAGGACCTTTATTTAGCATGTCTGAAGTTGCTGGCGTTCTTTTTTTTTTATTTTTTATTTTTTTATTTTTTTAGTTGCTGGCATTCTTAATAGGTCCTTGGGCACGTCCTTCTCAAGGGAAGAGACAGCCTCTTGTGTTCTGAGGACCCCCAGAGCATGAGTGCAGAGCTCTCTGTATTCTTTTCATCACATCTTGCCAGAGCCTAGAACAGCACCTGGCACAGAGTGGATGCCCAATGAATGTGACTGGGTGGGGTGGGACATTTATGTGACAAAGACAGGAAGCAGATGAAGATTCAAGTCCATGTTCACCTCAGATTCAATTCAGGAATGAGTTTGGGACAGGACCAGGGAGGCCACAGATGCTTATAATTGATGCCCAGGGAAGAGAGTTGAGGAGCAGGGCCCCAGCAGGTCACAGCAGAGGTAAGCAGGTAAGATGCGGTTTCCTTTCAATGGAGACGTCCCTAGCATATTAAGCACAGTATCTTTCACTTCCACAAAGAAATGTACTCTCTCCCACTTCTCTTGAACTGTGAAGCCCTCTCAGTCCGTGCTTGGTTTCCATGGATACAGGTGAGCAAGAGCACAGGGGAGGAGGGTGAGTGCTGCTGGGAGCAGTCTGAGGGGAGCCTTCTGGGGGCAGCCACTCTCGGCCCCAAGCAAGGACCACCATTCAGGAATGCCCAGCTGTGGCAAATCTCAGTTTACCAACAGCATCCAGAGATGCGGACTTTTATGTGAAATCTGGTTTTTGGACACTGACAATTAAGGTTGATTCTTTCTTCACCTGTTAAAAAAAAAAATGAATGTGGAACAAATTCCACATGAGGACAGCCAGGGAAGAAGTGAGAGGCCAGGAAGCAGCAACATCACAGCAATGTGGGGACAGAGGAAACAAATGACAGCCCCTTGCAGAGCTCAGGGCAGGGGGGCAGGGGCAGGGCAGGAGTGTTTCCAGAAGTGCCAACAGTGTTATCCAGGCAGATAAGGCCAAGGAGTCCCCACCGCATTTCCAACAAAGCAATGTTTGCCAGATCAGTGTAGCAGAGAGCTAGGGCAGCGGCCAGGGTGAGAGGGACAAACAGAAGGGCTGGTGAGATGTAGAATGAGAGGAGAGGAGAGTGTAGACAACTCTTTCAAGAGGCTTGGCTATGATGGGCTAGGAGGAATCCCGGCCACTGGCAGCCACAGTCAAGTCAGTGGACAGCCCAGATGTGTGGAAGGAGGAAGCTGGGAAAGGTGGCTGAAGACGGGGAAGTTGGGGGAGGGTGGACAGGGAGGGGAAGGTGAGCAGAGAGGTGGAGACCGAATTTCAGGAAAGAGAAGCTAGCCTGGATGGAAATAAACACAAACAGGGGGCACCTGTTCTTAATGCTTCTTCTGTCTGCTCAACCACAGAGCAATAGCTTATGTATAATTTAATCAGAAAACCACTTAGGTCATTAATGGCCTGTTTCAGAGGAGGGGAACTGAGGCTCAGAGAGTGAGAGTGACCCAGCCAGAAGGGCTTGGGGATCAAAGGCTGAGGTACTCCCCAGTGCTCCTCCCAGCTTCCCCCCCCCACCACCACCACCAAAGAGCTGCAGGGATCACGGTGTTCCAAGCTGGGGTGTGAGGCTGTGCGGGTGGAGGCTCTGAGGACTGGGAAATGTCCTTGTGCCAGGCAGGGGAGGCCATTAGCGCCCTTGGAGAATGGTCTCCAACCAGGGTGGCAGAGCCCACGGCGGGGGGGGGGGGGGGGGATGAGGGGGATGAGTGGGCAACTGGAGAGGCAGCAGGCAGGGGAGGGGCTCTTGCTGGCTCTGAGCTGTTCGAGCTCATTTGAAGTCAGCGGGGAGAGAGGCGGTGCAGGGCGAGAGACTTCCACGGGAGTACAGAGTACAGAGAACCGATGATCCCGGGGCTGCCTCCTCACCTGCTCAGTGCCAGCTCCCACGTGGCCCCCTCCAGGCAGCCCTGCCAGGGAAGGGAAGCTGTGGGCCAAAGGACTGGGCCCCATGGCGCACAGGGACCAGTGGCCAGGCGGGGATTTTGGAATCCCAACCCTGTGAATGGAGGATAGGTCCCCCTGGCCCCTAACGGGGTGCGGGTTGGGGCTAGGGTTCCAGGGGCCACAGTGGGGCAAGAAGCTTGCTGGAAGTCTGGGAAGAACTCCCAACCCTGGGAGATCCTGTGGGGAGGTCACCACAGAGTGGCCAGGGGGGTTGTGGGGGGCAGCGCAGGCACTAAAAGGCCAGCTCAGCTTTCACCCTGTCCTGCTGCTGACAAGAATGACTACTGCTTGGGGATTAGGCAGATTAGGAAGGACTCTTCCAGCTGCCATTCAAACTAGTTTAAGCAAAAGCAAGCATAATTTGTCTCATTTAACCAGGAAGGTTGACAGCAGGAGTCTCTCCGAGCTTACTTTCTCTCCATCTCTCAGCTCTGTTTTCCTCATGCTGGATGGCTGTATTCTCAGGTGGGTCTCCCGTTATTGGCAAAGATGCCCTTCAACCAGCCCCAGGCCCATATCTTGCCAGCTCAGTAGCCCCAGAGGAGCCTTTCTCGGTGGTTCCAATAATCTCAGAGCTGACACCATTGGATTGACTCGGGAGATGTGTGCATCCCTGAAGCAGTCTCTGCATCTGACCACGGCCTGGAGTGGAAAAGCAACCTGGAGGACAGGAACAGAGATACCTAACCTTGGACATCCACAGCACTGGGCACATTTCCTCCCCTCCAAGCCCAGACCCCTGCCCTGACTCCCACTGTAGTCTCCACAGCTACAGCCTTAAGAATTACTTCTGATGGGGTGCCTGGGTGGCTCAGTCAGTTAAGCATCTGCCTCCAGCTCAGGTCATGATCCCAGGTTCCAGGATCAAGTTCTGTATTGGGCTCCCTGCTCTGAGGGGAGCCTGCTTCTCCCTCTCCCTCTGCTGTTCCTCCTGCTTGTGCTCTCTCTCTAATAAATAAAATCGAAAAAAAGGGGTCCCTGGGTGGCGCAGCGGTTTGGCGCCTGCCTGCCTTTGGCCCGGGGCGCAATCCTGGAGACCCGGGATCGAGTCCCACGTCGGGCTCCGGGTCGGGCTCCGGGTGCATGGAGCCTGCTTCTCCCTCTGCCTATGTCTCTGCCTCTCTGTCTCTCTGTGTGTGACTATCATGAATAAATAAATAAAATCTTTTTAAAAAAAATCGAAAGAAAAAAAGAAAAAAGAAAGAGAAGAAAGAAAGAAAGAAAAAGAAAGAAAGAAAGAAAGAAAGAAAGAAAGAAGAAAGAAAGAAAGAAAGAAAGAAAGAAAGAAAGAAAGAAAGAAAGAAAGAAAGAAAACAACTACTTCTGACCAAACTCTAGGCAGGGCCACACCCCTGGAAATGAGGGTGCTAGGAGGGGAAACAGGGAGAGCCTGTGGTGTGACGTGGCATGGGACAGACCTGGGTTCCCATCCAGACTTTGTCATTCACCAGCTGCACACCTCAAGGCAAGTCATTGCCCCTCCCTAAATCTCAGTTTTCCCATCTGTAAAACAGTAAAAAGGGCCAACACATCAATAGCACCTACTATGTGTGGTTGCCACTTTAAGCACTTTTTATTTTTTATTTTTTTTATTTTATTTTATTTTTAGATTTTATTTATCTATTCCTGAGAGACAGAGAGAGGCAGAGACACAGGCAGAGGGAGAAGCAGGCTCCATGCAGGGAGCCCAACGTGGGACTGGATCTCAGGTCTCCAGGATCACACCCTGGGCTGCAGGCGGTGGTAAACCGCTGCGCCACCAGGGCTGTCCCACTTTAAGCACTTTTTAGATTTTTTTAAAAAGTCTTCAGACAGACCCTATGAGGTAGGCACCGTCATGATCATCCCATCTTATAGTTGAAAATGAGTAAGACAAGAACGGTCTGGCAATGAGTCTAGGGCAACATGGTTGGCAAAGTCTGTACAGTGACAGCAATGGACAGGAACAGAGCTAATGTGGCCCAGTGGCTGGCTCTGGACCAGGGGCAGATGCCTGGGAGATGCTCTGAGCACTGAAATGATGCTGGGCACTCTTGAAAGTACTTGGTTCAAACTTGGCAGGGGCAGGATCAGGGCAGAGAAGGCTCCACCTGCTGATCCTGAAAAAGTGCTGAGGCTAACATGCCAGTCTTGAAACCTTCCCTGAGAGTTGTGGAGAAGCACAGAACAGGAAGATGGGTGTGGGAGGTAGGGAGAGCCAGCCTTCCAGGAGGAGGGAGGGGTTTCTCACCTTTGAAGCCCCCATCCAGTCACATTTTATCCTTATAAATCAGCAAAGAGGAGACTTAGAGAGGAGAAGCCTTTTAGCCAAGTTCATACAGCAAGTGACCAGCTTCTGGATCTGAATCCTCCCTCTTTTTTGTCTCTTCTACTCCAGGGACAGAGAAGTCACTGGACCAGCCTCCCAATGTGGAGGGGAGCTGGCACTCTAGGGATGGGAGAGATCCAATATGTTAGTGATTTGAAGGGTGATCAGTGCTGGGAGTGGTAGACACGAAAGCCTGGTGGGAGCTCCAAGGAGGCACTGAGATCAACACCCCTCCCCCCGCGCCCCCCCCCCCCGTTGTCCCACCCCCACCAGGCCTCAGCTGGCAGGCCTGTGAGTTTGTTTCATGGGTAACAAGTGGCTGAAGAAAGGCAGATTCACAGAGGGTGATTGGTGATCACCTTCCTCCCACTGGTAAAAGAAGGTGAAGATCATGATGGGGCCACTAAATTTGGCAACTTAAGAGTCACCAGTGACCTCACTAGTTGTCCCTGAAGCAGTGCCAGGGACAACAGGAGCAAAAGGAGACAGATTGCAGATTTATAAATTAGATTTATAGAGGGCTAAAGGGTAAGAGGACCAAAAGGAGTAGGCTCCAGGGCATGTAAGCAGGGAACCCTCTTTCTCCCCTGAAAATAGAGAAAACGGGGCATGGGACATATGAGGACTCTGTGCTATCTTTGTAATTTCTCTGTAAATTTAAAACTGTTCTAAAATTAAAAGTTTATTTAAAAATATAGATGGCAAAGAGGTGAGAGTGGGGTGGCTGGAGACAGTTTGTAGGTGGCTGAGGGGAAGAAGGAATTTGAGGAAGGGAGAGCATGCTCATTGGACTTCTGTTTTTTGGATGTGAAATTGAGTGAGCAGGAGGCTGGGGAGGAGGAGGTGGTGGGGAATTCTGAGCTGGGACACGTCAAAGAAAGTAAGAGGGGAATGAGGCCAGAGATGCCTCTACCTACTCCTCCCAAGCACCCCTCAGCCCTAGGGTGGTCTTCTCTCTCCCCAGAATCCCACTGACTCTGCCCAGGGCCTTGCTCCAAGTGGCAGCTGTGGAGAAATTACCAGGGCCAGGGGTCCATGGCATACTAGGTGCAGAGTACCCGAGGGAGGTGTCTGTGAAACTTAGGGGGTTTGAAGAGGTTATTCCTACTTGAAAGCACTGGGACTCACTGCTAATCAATGCACACTGCTCTCCTCCTCTTGGTGTAACTGATTACCCATCTCAGAACTCAGAGGCCCAACTGGGGGCCCCCTCCTTTTCCATCTCCCAGACTGGACCAAGTAAAGCTTGCTTGATTCTGTCACCTCCCCCAAGAAGATGGGGGTGGGAGGCTGTGTAAGAGGTGGAAAAGGCTTCTTCAAGCTGGGGAGAGTTTCAGGGTCCCACTTCAGCAAGGAGTGGAGATGTTCCATGAGGCCCTGGCAGTGGTGCCCACTCCCTTGTAGGGGACTTCTGTACTTGGAACCCTGCCCTGGGAGTCTGGGGTTAGATGCTGCTTCTGGAACTGTACTTGGGATTCCTCTGTGAGGCCTGAGGCTTGGGAGAGAAGGCAAAGGAACTGGAGGCTGGACCCATCAGAGACAGCCCTTGGGGGCAGCCAGGAACTGAGAGAGTGCTCTAGAGAGAGGTGGGTCAGGGATGGGAAAGAAGTTGGGAATCCTGGAGTACTGAGCTAAGTTGGGGCTGAGCACAATCAAGGAGGCAGGGAAGGAGGGGTGTGGTTGGGAACTGGGATCCCAACGGGAATAAGGTAGGCAGGCTGGACCGAGGAGGGTGCTGCTAGCGAAGGTGGTTATTGTGAATGTGTGGAGGTGCGCACTGAGGGCGTGGTTGGGAAGTAGGCTGGGAAAGAAATGGGTTGGATGTGGGGTAGGGACACAGATGGCAGTGAATAATGATGGGGGTGGACTAGGAGTGGACCTTTCAGAGGTGGGTATGGGCTGCATACGGGCCAAGGTGGCTGGTCCAATTGGGCTGGGGTTGAGGGTTGGAATGGAGATGGGTTTAACCTGGTTTGGGATGGCAGGGGGATGGGGCTAAGGCTGGGACGGAGAGAAATTAAGCACGGGGTAGAGCTGTGCCAACCGGAGCTAAGTGGATTTGGGCCTGGGACTAGGAGCTGGAAAGGAGAGGGGGGAAGCCGGGCCTGGGTGGTGGCCGCAGACGGGAACCCCGCGAGGTGGTGCCGCTGCTGGGTATGGGGCTGGGGAAAGGGTGAGCGCCCACGCTGTGGACACCGTGCGCGAGGGCTTGGGACGCCGGCGAGACGCGGCCCGGGTGCGGGAGGGCAGAGCCGCGGGCGGGCGCGGGGCGCGGGGCGGGGGGCGCCCGGGGCAGGCCGGGAAGGGGGGCGGCCTCCCCCTGGGCCCGCCGGGCGGCGCTAGGACCGGGCGCGCGCAGGGAGCGAGCCGGGCGGAGCCTGCGCCCCCCGCCCCCCGCCGGCCGCTCCCCTCCCCCGGCCGCGGCTCGCTGGGCTCGCGGCGCTGCAGAGGCTTCGCGGCGGCGGCGGCGGCTCCCTCTTTCCTTGCCTCCTCCTCTGGCCGTCCGTCCGTCCGTCCGCGCGTCCGTCCGCTCGGCCTCAGTCCGGCCAGCAGCATGGCCGGCGTCAGCTTCAGCGGCCACCGCCTGGAGCTGCTGGCGGCGTACGAGGAGGTGATCCGGGAGGAGAGCGCGGCCGACTGGTGAGCCCCCGCCCCGCCCCCGCCCGCGGCCCCTTTGTCCCCGCCGCCGCCGCCGCCGCCTTTGTTTCCGCCCGGCTCCGCCGCCCCGCAGCCGGGAAGGGAGGGGGCCCCGCAATGGTGCAGCGGCCCGGGGGGCTCGGGAGGGGCTGCCTCGGCGCGCGCCGGGGGAGGGGCCGGGCCGGGCGGGCACTGCCGGCCCCGGGCGCCCGCAGGCGGCCCCGGCCTCGCGCCGCAGCGGTGGCCGGACGCTCCGGGGAGGCGCGGGGTCCAGATGCGGGGCCCGGGGGCGCTCGCCCTGCGGGAGCCCATCCCCCGCCCTCGCCCTGCCGCCCCGAGCCCCGGGGACAGGTGTGCACGGGGCGGCCAAGGGCACCTTCGCCACCTTCGGGCGGGAGCGGGCCGGGCGGGGACGAGGCGGGGAACCAGCCAGCGGAGCCAGCGCAGCCCGCCTGGCCCGGCCCGGCCCGGCCGCAGCACAAAGGAGAGCTGGGGCGGGGGAGGGGCGGGGCGGGCCGGGGCCGGGGCCGGGGCGCCCCGCCCACCGGGGGCCTCTCGGAGCCGGGGTGCGAGGGAGCGGTGTTCCTCGCCACCTAGCCGCGGCCGAGCGACTCCTGTTCCCCTCAGGGGTCGCGGAGAAGGCCGAGCTGAGACCTCCTCTCCCCGATCCGGAGGGGACTGCGGGGACTAGGCAGTGGGGCCGGGAGCTGCCGCGGGGACTGATCTGCCTGGCCAGGTGGCCAGCTGGGGTCCCTGAGAGGAGGCTCCCAGGCACACAAGTGTGGAGGGAGCGCCCAAACAGGAAGGAGAGAGTGAGTACATCCATTGAGCCCAGAAGCCTCAGGCTCAGTGGTCAGCTTCCTCGTGGCAGATAAGCTGAGCTACCTTCTCTCCCTTTCCTGGCTGTTGTCTTGCCCTGAGCTTGAGACGGGATGGACCACCTGCTCTCTCTGGCTGGAGACCCCTGGGTGGCAGGAAAGCAAAGGGGTCCCACACTGCCCCATTCAGGAATCCCCTTCCTCCAAAATACTCTCTCCTGGGACAGGTGCCCATTCTGTTCTCTAGGCCTGGTCTTTTCCTAGCAGGAAGGAAACTGAGGCACAGAGTGAGGATAGGTCTGAGGGCCCTCACGTGGGCTGGCCTCACCCTCATCCTAGGAGGGCAGTTAGGTAGGGACACTGACCCGGGGGCTGGAGGAGGGGCAAGATGGCCAGGCGTCCATGCCATGGTACTGCAGCACTGGCGGGCAGCCAGGCCTGGAGGGATGGACGAGGGAGAAAGCTCTCAAGTCCTGCAGGTCAGTCACAGGAGAGGCCAGCACAGGCTGAGCCGGCAGGAGGCCCACCCATTGTCCCAGCCCTGCCCCATGGGGGCTGAGATCATGGGAGGAGTTCAGGGCAAGTGGCCCGCTTGGCCTGGTGGAGGAACTAGGCTTAGGATATGGGCCTTGCCTGCAGAGGCACAGCCCGCCTTAGAACACCCTACTTGTCCTCTGGTCTCCTGGTTACTATATACTACCACCCCGTTTCCCTCTAACCTCCCAAAAGCAAGGTTCTGGCAGCCCAGCACAGGGGTACACAACCACTGCTGGACCACATTCTGTTTAGCAGAGGCCTGGGCTCCCACCACCCAGCAGCATCCATGTGGCCAAAGCAAGTTATTCATCATTGGCATGCGTCACCCCCATCTGGGTTGTGTGTGGGACACACATGTACACATGCACCCTCGTACATACAGACATTTGCCAACTCCCGAGGGCCTAGATAGCGTTTTGTAAAGAGGGTGTGAAGATCACATCCTGCAGAGTAGGGCATGAGTGCCCCCAGTCCCAGTACAGAACCAGGAGTATAGTGGAGTCTCAGGACTTAGGGGCAGACCCTGCACTCAGAGGCCAGAGGAGCGTATCTTGGGTACAATTGCTGTCTTGGTCAAGAGGCATGGTACTGCCTTCACTTACCTCTGAGGGGGATCTTGCTCCTATGTGGCAGAGCCTTTGAAACAGACTGTTGCCCTGGATAGGACACTACTCACTGTGTTGACTACACACAAGTGTCTGCTCCTCTCTGGTCCTCTTGAAAAGAGAAGGAGGGGATGGGACTCCACCATATCTGGGACCCCCAAGGCACCTTCCAGCTCCAGCATCCTGAGAGTGGAATTGGACTGAGGGTTCCTCCATCTGCCTTTGGTCCCCACCTCAACCTAACTTGGGATCTCCCTGGAGTGGCTACATCCCAGGCCCACCTCACCCTAGTCCAGTGTCTCTGGCCTTGGTGGCTTCTCAGAGTTTGTGTCAATATCACAGATACCTACTGGTTCTTGCCCTGTGCTGGACCCGGGACCCAGTGAGTGATGCATGTTGATTGAATTGGATGTCTCCATTTCACACAGCTTACAGTTAGAGGCGTTGTCTGTTTCCAGGGGTTGAAGCTGAAGAGACATGTAGATCCCTGGGACCCCATCCTGATACCTGTGGTTTCAACAGCTTCCACCCTTTCAGGCCTGGCTATCTCTGATGTGTTTGAGAAGTACAGGTCTAATGAGATCTAGGATAGGCTTAGAGGCTTCTTGCCATCCCTTATGGGGTATGGTAAGTGCTCTAAGGAGGTGGAACTTAGGACAGGGCTTCCTTGGAAGCTGGCATTGGGTCCCTGAAGGATTTCAGTCAGGGCTGGCCCATGGGATGGATAAATAGGTTCCCTCCTGTGGAGGGAAATGAATGTGCAGAGGCTCCCGGGTGGGAAATATCTAGAATTGAGTTTGGGATCCAGAGGCCATCCAGTGCATCCCAAGTGTTTGGTATGGAAACGGAGGTCTGGCTGGAAGGGCAGGTGGGGGCAGAGCTCAGGGTTGAAGGGCTGCTGAATGCTTAGGTATGGTTTCTGCCAGGCAAGGGCTGTGGCTGTAGCAGGAGAAGATGGCCAGAGGTGGGTAGGCAAGGGTTGAGAATGGAAGGGGTCTTTGGCAGGGCAGGCATTCCTGGGCCCTGGGAGAGGCTGGCAAGTTGTCCCACAGAGGTGTGATATCTAGAGCAGTGTCTGGCCACCAGGGTTCTTAAGTTCTGCCTCTGTTCCTGGTCTGTGGAATGGAGAGGGGCAGACCCCTGTTTCTCTGAGGGCCCTTTGTTCCCAGTGGTGGGTTAGGGTAGCCAGACAGGTGGTGGGACAGCTGTTCTGAGAAGCAGCTGCCAGGGTTGGGGCCCAGGGAACAGTTGGACCGGGAGCTCCCAGCCCCACAGCCCACCTGTGTCCCTTTCCGGAGGGAGAGGTCTAGGGGGCCCTGTGGCACTGGTGGTGACTTGTGCTGACTTCATGAGACTGGGCCAGGGCCTCCTTCTTTTCCTCCTCCCTCTCCCCTCCCTTCTTCCTCCTTCCCTCCTCCCTCTCCCCTCCTCCTTCTCCATCCCCCCTCCCTCCTTCCTCTTCCGCTCTCCCTTCCTCCCCCTTCTCTCCCTCCCTCCCTTCCTCATTTTCTCTTCATCTCTTCACTTCCTTTCTCTTCTCTTTCTTCCTCCTCACTCCCTGTTTCTCTCGCCCTTTCTCTTCTCCATTACCCTGCCTCCCTGTCTTCTAGCCCACCCCCCACCCCCACCCTCGCTGCCTCCTCCACCTGCCCTGGAAATAGGGAAAGGAAAGCATGGGCTTAAGACCCCCTGAGCTGCCTTCTCCCTTGCCCCACTGGGTTCTCAGGAGGAGATGTCTCTGTCTTCCCTTCTGTGAAATGGAGGCTGGGCCACTACCTCTAGGGAGAAAAAGCCAGGGCAGAGAAAGCTAGGGAGGAGGAAGAAGGAGGAAGGCTGTTAGGGTTGGCTTTCTGTTGAAGCTAAGGCAGAAGGAAAGGCTAGCATTCCCTGGGGGCCAGGGCCTCAGCTCTGGCCCAGGCCTAGAGGCAAGGCTAGAAGGCTAGGAGAACATGCCCACCAGGGGTCTGAGTCTGGGCAAGAGTGACAAGAGTGACCACGGTAAACTCATCCCCATCCCCATTTCTGAGAGGCAGAGATTGAGGCCAAGGGCATGTCCCTGGGGTCTTTTGTGTTCAGGAGAATGTGGCTAGGGTGGGCTCAGTCATGTGCCAGTTGCCAGGTTGCCATGGTTACTGAGGGATGCCCAGCGAAGAGAGCACCAGGTTCTCTCTCCTCCCCCTCCCTTGCCATGGGGGAGGGGTGGTGGGTACTGAAGAACATGCCAGGTAGGTTCCCAGCGCTGGCCAATGGAGGCTGAGGATTGTGGTAGCCAGGGAACGGTAACCAAGGAACCGTCGCCTTGGAGTTTCCATCTCACACCCGCTTGTAGGCTGCCAGGGCCTGAGCTCTGAGAACGGGACACATGGGCTTCCACAAAGCCAGGGACCAGGCAGTGATTTCTGCCCCCTTGCCTACTGACCACCTGCCCTGGGCCTCCCTCTACCAAGTCCCAGGCTGCCCCCTCACTATGCCCCCTCCCCCTGCCCAGGCTCCAGCCAGAATTGGTGCCTAGCCCTGCTGTCATGATGACATGGCAGGGCTGGACCAGAACCCCTATCCCTGTCCTGCCTCCTCAGAGTCCCTCCTCCTCCCCAGAGCCATCCCCACCCAAAATTGGCAGCCTGGGCCCTGACAGTACTCTGAGGCACCCCTCCCTCTCCCCAGGGCTCTGTACACATATGAGGATGGCTCAGATGACCTCAAACTTGCAGCATCAGGAGGTAAGAATTCCAGCCATTCCGTTGCCTTCCTCTCCGCCCCCTCCTCTGGTTTTCTTCCCCACCCACCTGGCTCCAGGCCATCTCCCTGCCTGCAGCCAGCCGACCCACACTTGTCTGCCTGTGTCCTTCCTCCAGCCATCCCTCAGATCCCCAGGGCAGGGAAGGAGGAGCCTTATTTGCTCTTTGATTATGAGAAGACTGAGCCTCAGAGAGGGACAGTGACTTGCCCAAAGCCACACAGCTAGGAAGGAGGGGGCCTGGCAAGGATGGCCCATGTCACATCTACTTTCTCCAGAGCCAGTGGGTTTTATTTTACCTAACTGGGCTCTAGCACTGTGAGAGGTAATGATGTGCGAAGAGTGAGACATGGGATGTGTGAAAAACAAACACTTCCCGAGTCCTAAGTCAGGCCCTGGGAGATTCAGAGACAAAGCTTGCCCCTGCCTGTTGACTCTTTCTCACACCAGCACAGAACTGTGGGACCTCCAGATCTCTGGGTGAGCCTGTAGAGCCCATAAGAGGAGTCTGCCCTTTGGGTTCCAGCCCTTTTGCAGGGTAAGGGTTCAGGAGATGAAGAGTCTTGCTTGATAACTCTTCGATTTCCCCCAGATGGGGGTTTGCAGGAGCTCTCTGGCCACTTTGAGAACCAGAAGGTGATGTACGGCTTCTGCAGCGTCAAGGATTCCCAGGCTGCTCTGCCAAAATACGTGCTCATCAACTGGGTATGCAGCTATGGGCTGGGGAAGGGAGTAAAGGCCCCAGAACAGTGACCCTCCTCCCCAGGTCATCTACTGACACTGTTGGGAGAGAGCACCGCTAGCCCCCTGGGAAGAGAGCCCAGGGCCTCAGGCTGCTGTCCCCTCTTGTCCTTTCCTGACTCCCTCTCTGTTGGGTACTTTGCAGGTTGGTGAAGATGTACCTGATGCCCGAAAATGTGCTTGTGCTAGCCACGTGGCTAAGGTGGCTGAGTTCTTCCAGGTAGGGGTGGGGCCAGACCTGGGACAGGGTGGTAGGGTGGGGGCAGGGTCTCTATGCTGGGGGCAGTCATGGGAAGGAGCCAGGCTGTCCCAACACACCTTCTCGCTTCAGGGTGTTGATGTGATTGTGAATGCCAGCAGCGTGGAAGACATAGATGCGGGTGCCATCGGGCAGCGGCTCTCCAACGGGCTGGCACGGCTCTCCAGCCCCGTGCTGCATCGCCTGCGGCTGCGTGAGGATGAGAACACTGAGCCGGTGGTCAGTGTGCCTGGGACAGGCTGGCCTGGCCAGGGCTTCACCCTTTGTGAATGGGAGCTCCCAGAATGCTCAGGAGGGAGCCCCCCCAACCCCCTCCTTGTCCCCGCTCATGCCAACCTGTTTGACTCTGCAGGGCACCACCTATCAGAAAACTGATGCAGCTGTCGAAATGAAGCGGATTAACCGTGAGCAGTTCTGGGAGCAGGCCAAGGTGTGGACCCTGGCCCCAGCTTTCAGGCTGAGCTGTCCCTCCCTGGTCCTGTCCCATGGCATATAGCTCTGGCCTCTGTCCCAAAGTCCCCCGCTTAAGCAGTGTGTCCCATCTCGTGTGCTACCCCAGCTGAAAGAGGGAGCCATTTTGGGCTGAACTTCCCAGAAACAGAACCTCCCCAATCTTGCGTTGGGGAGGGGCTGGAGGGGCAGGGGTGGGCCCCAGCTCAGGGCCTGCACTGCCTTGGTGTGGGGGGTTGCAGAAGGAGGAAGAGCTGAGGAAGGAGGAGGAGCGGAAGAAGGCCCTGGATGAGAGACTCCGGTTTGAGCAAGAACGGATGGAGCAGGAACGTCAGGAGCAGGAGGAGCGGGAACGGCGCTACCGAGAACGGGAACAGCAGATCGAGGAGCACAGGTTGGCCCTGCCCCCACACTAGGCCACTTGCTCCAGGCTGCATGTGGACCCACCATGTGGACCCACCGTGAGGTATGCATGCCGGCTTATCATTCCAGGAGGAAACAGCAGACTTTAGAAGCTGAGGAGGCCAAGCGACGATTGAAGGAACAGTCTATCTTTGTAAGTTTTTGTTTGGGGCTCCCAGTCTCCTGGTTAGGGGAAGTGAGAATAGTCCCTGTGTTACTGGACCTCTGTCGAGGGGGGTGGGCCTGGGAGGAGCTGGTTATCAGTGGCTTGACGACTGTTCTGGGTGTTCGGAGTACCTCTGCATGGGCATGGGAGTGTCACAGAGTGTCAGGCCTGCCACCCAATCATGTGGGTCTGTGTTCCTGGGCTGTGGAAAGAGACTTCCTTGGAGAAGTTTATTTTGTAGACTGAAAGAGAAAATCTATCTTGACCCAGTCCCTCACCGACCTGCCCCTCCCCCCCAGCCCCTCCTCCCAGTGAAGCTTGGGATGGGTTAGATGCACTTCCTGCACTTTGGAGGGGCTGGAAACCTGGTCCCCACCACAGTTGTGCTGCAGAGCCACACGAAGGAGTTTGGGCCAGTGTTCTGAGCGTCTGTGCACAAGTGTATATAGTTCTAGGGGTGCTCTCTTACCTCTACACACTGGAAGTGGCCCACAGAAGCATCCTGGGGTTGAGTCTTCATGCTTTGAATTGAATTTTGTATTTCAGAAATAGCCAAGGTCATTTAGAGTGGAGCATGGTAGAGTTCTGAGTGGGAGGTGGGCAGTACTCATGTGAATTAGTGATGGCCAGTTTTGCCATGAGGACCCAGATGAGCTCCAGGAGGGTCACCCCCGCAGGAGGCTGGGAGGGAGGAGACCCGACAGCCATGCCCACTGTGGTATGAAGTGGCTGTCAGAGTTCATTGCAGTCACATCAGCCCTGGGGGTGGAGATGTGTGGTTAGTGAGCTCCAGCTGCAGTTGTTCATTCAGCACACCTTTGCCACCTGCCGGGTACCAGGTGTTAGAAACAGTGGAGAACAAGATGGGCAAAACTTTTTAAAAAAGTAATTGATGAATCAGTTTATTTTGAATTGTGCCAGAATGTCCACAAAATGTGCCATCTTAACCATTTTTAAGTATACAGTTTAGTGGCATTAAGATTCCCAACATATTCACATTGTACAACTATCATCACTGTTTATCTCCAATTTTTTTTCATCTTTCCATATTGAAACTCTGTCCGCATTAAACATTAACTCCCCATTCTCTTCTCCCCCAGGTCCCTGGCAACTGCCTTTCTACTTTCCGTGAATTTGACTACTCTTAAGTACCTCATTTGAATGGAATCGTAATATTTGTCCTTTTGTGACTAGGTTATTTCACCTAGTGCGGTGTCTTCAAGGTTCATCCATGTGTCAGAAGGTCTTCCTTTTTAAGGCTAATAACATTCCTTTGTACGTATACACCGCGTTTTGTTTATCCATTCAGAGCAAGGTCGTTTTGAAAAAGCTTGTTTTATAGAGAATTTCACATACAGACACACAAAGGTAGAAAGAACAGTAATAGTGCATCCCCCTGAAGTGATCACTCATCTACACCAGTTGTCAACGTTTCAGGCAAAGTCTTATACCCGGCCCTTCAGGTGTGGCTCATGGGGTAGTGACAGGGGATATTCAAGCAGGTCAGTGTGGTGACCCTACCACTTCAGGCCCTCTAAAGAAGGTCTCATCTGAGAACTTTGGAATTTAGAACCATAACATGCTGTCTCTTTGTTTAAGCTGTTGTTCTGCTTTCCCATCTCTGTTAAGAATTGCGTTCCTTGCCTAGGTTCCCTTTCTGCCTGAGCGGTCAGGGAGCCCCCACGTATCTGAAAACACTCAGGCACAGCAGTGCTTCTGACCATGTGATTAGTGTGTTGATCTCGCTTTTCCTACCCAGTACCCGTAATTTGTTTCAATCTTTTTTGCACGTCATTGGTAGTTAAAGCTTTTGTGGTGAGCTTGCCTCTAGTCCTTTTTTTGAATGAGGCAAAGGCATCTAGTGAGGTCACGCTAGGTGGTGCTGAACACCAGCAAAGGCTGGTGGGATGTAATTTATGGGAAGGCAAGGAGCCTGGCTGGAGCCCAGTCAGCTGAAGAGCGAGGGAAATTGGATTGGAAAGAGAGCTAGGTCAGAGGAGGACTTGAGACTTCATTCTGGAAGAACGCAGAGTTGTGGTTGGAATGACAACCCTCTTGAGGGGGATGCTTTGATGGGCCATTCTCTTAATGTATCCTGAGAGCAAAGTTTGAGTTTAGATTACATGAACAAAGCAGAGAAGCCCTGTAAGTCCCCCACCTTACCTGCAGCCTCTCCTCCCCTCTGCACTCAGTCCCTCCTGCCCCATCAGCCACAGTGGCAGCAGGATCAGCACCAATTAAAAAGCTTTGATGTAGTGAGTTCAGTTGAGCAAACACATGCCAGCAGAACCTTGTGCTGGATCTCACTTCTCGTTCTGTGTCACCCACAGAGGATAGGGGCAGTGAGCCCAGAAGAAGGAAGTTATGATACTGTGTAATCTGTGGTGTGTGCCTAGAATACCTCATGGAGACTCCAAAATGACCTGAATGGGCGAGGGACCACTTCTCTAGGAGGCAGTGTCCAGGCTGAGGATGGAAGTGGGAAGAGTTGGACCTGGGCTGGGAGATGGGCACTTGGGGCAAGAGATTGATCTTCCATGCAGAGGCATGGAGGGGGAGATGATGCGCACATTCCAGGAACTCTGCATCGTGTTGAGGACTTTGTGGTTACATCTTAAAGGGTGTGTGAGTGTTAGAGAGGTGATGGACTAGATCAGACAAGGGGAAGGGGAACAGGGGACACGCAAGGAACTCCTGTCTATATTCCTGGGGTCGCAGCCTCTAAACTGTAGTGCAGCTGGCTGGTAAAGTGCACTAGGGAGTGCACTTGTGGTGGGGACTGCAGCAAACGGGATAGCACTAGCATGTGCCTGGGTTGAGGGCTCCTGCAGTGCTGCTCTGGCCAGTAGTTGCTTTGGGGCATGTCCATTGTTGCCAGGGCTTCTGGCATTTTAAGAGAAACTGGAGACACAACACAAAATCCTTCTGTGGGCCTTAGTCAACTAGTACTCACTATACTCATGAGAAACCCGCCAAGGGATAATTCATGGTCTGATTTGGATTTTGGAAAGATCCTTGTATGAGAGAAAAGCAAGGAGGCAGGTGACTAATAGGAAGCTCTCAGTCATGATGCGAAGATCAAGGCAGCAATGATAGGCATGTGGCTGGCTAGGTACTGGGGTAGGAGATCCAAGAACACTTAAGCTACAAAGCAGGGAGCACTCATGAGTGGCCCTGGATCTGGGGATGCAGGAGTAGGAGGAGCTGAGCTGGGTACCCAGGGGCCCATCTGAGCCAGAGATGAGGTGGCCAGGGCCTTGCAGGTGGAGAGGAGACTGGGTAGTGAAGGGAGCAGAGATGCCACCTCCAGGCCCCTTCCTTCCAGGTTGTGGAGAAAATCTGGGGCCTGTAAGAAGGCCAAGAGCTCAGGGGGAGTGCGGTACCCAGGACCCTGTCCCTTTGGTTTCCAGGGTGACCAGCGGGACGAGGAGGAAGAAACCCAGATGAAGAAGTCAGAATCAGAGGTAGAGGTGAGAGCTGGGGAGAGGGCAAGTGAGGTGGGCAGGGCTCGCCTCAGCCGGGCCACACTGACCCTTTCTCCATGCCCCTAGGAGGCAGCAGCCATTATTGCCCAGCGGCCTGACAACCCGCGGGAATTCTTCAAGCAGCAGGAACGAGTTGCATCGGCCTCAGCAGGCAGCTGCGATGCCCCCTCACCCTTCAACCACCGGCCAGGTAGTCCTAGGTCCCAACCCCACCTGAATCCTACTCCTCAGGTTTGGGGCCTGAGCCTCTCTGTGACTCTTTCTTGGAAGGGAAGCCTTGCCCAAGGAGCCCTTGGAAAAGGCAAGGCCATTCCTCACGTGTGCTCTCACCTGCCGGCTCCCAGGTGGCAGAGCTGAGAGGGGCTCAGGCTGGGGTTAGGGGTGGCCTTGGCTGAGCGATGGGGGAGTACTGGAGGTCATCTGGGCAGCCCCACCTTGGGCTGAGGTACCCCCACTGGCTGCAGGGAGTGGCCCCGCTCGGCTTGAACGAGGTCTTGCTGAGGGATGTGGATGCATGTGGGGCAGGCTCTTAGCCTGACCCTGAGTTTGAGCCGCCTGGAACCTGCACCCAGTGCTTGCTGTTGAGACTCTCCCCATGTCGCTTCTACCTCCCTCCACGAAGCACCCTTCCGCTGTGTCCGCTGGCCTGAGTGTTTGCCCTGGCTGCGTGCTTGGCCCTGGGCTGGGGCTCCAGGGATGGGGCACGCTGTCGCGTGATGCTGAGGCTGGCTTGGTGTGGCAGGCTCATTGCTGTGCGTGCCTGGTGCTGGTGGGAGTCCTCTGGTGGCTTGAGGCTGTGGCCTAGCTTGGCTGATTGTGCGCCCTAGCTGAGGGTACTTTGGACTTCTAGGGCCAGCCTTTGGGGTGGGTGAGGCCTCAGGGCAGGGGTGGGGGAGACTGACCCTCTCTTGTCCTCTGTCTCTCTCTGTCTGTCTCTCTCGGCAGGTCGTCCGTACTGCCCTTTCATAAAGGCATCGGACAGTGGGCCTTCCTCCTCCTCCTCTTCCTCCTCCTCCCCTCCACGGACTCCCTTTCCCTATATCACCTGTCACCGCACCCCAAACCTCTCTTCCTCCCTCCCATGTAGGTAGCAGCCCCAGGCCACAGTGGTGGGGGGTAAGGAGGGCCCCGCTTCCCAGCAGTGCGCCCACCCTCACTCTCCCAGCCTGACTGCTGATCTCTGGTATTTGTCCCAAGAGCAGGTACTACCTGCCTCTTTCCCCTGGCCCTGAAGGGGCTCTGGCCCCAAGGTGCCTGGCTTATAGGATCTGGAGCTGTGGTCTGGCCCCCAAGGGGCCTGGGGGGCTTCCAGCCCCCACCCAGACTCCACACAGGAGGTGCTGGCCAGACCCCAAGGTGGACAATCCTGGTACCTGGCCCTCATTGACCAGCCTGGGGGTTTATTCCACAGGCAGCCACTTGGACAGCCACCGGAGGATGGCACCTACGCCCATCCCTACCCGGAGCCCGTCTGACTCCAGCATGGCTTCCACCCCTGTTGCTGAACAGATTGAGCGGGCTCTGGACGAGGTCACATCCTCGCAGCCTCCACCACTGCCACGACCGCTCCCTCAAGGTGAGTGAGGGGCTATACCTGAGCTGCACCAGGTCCCCCACCAGTCCCTGGGCTGGGAACTCCACGTGGCCATGCTAACAATTCCTCAGGGATCTAAGCCAGCTGTCACCCAGATTGTACTGCCCTGGCAGTGGTGATGGCAGGGAGGAGCCTTGGTGTTGCTGTCAGACCTGTCATCTCTAAACCTGACTGTGTCTGCCTGAACACTAGGAGATAAAGGGGCAGCAGGGCCCAGGGGCTATGCTGGAAGGTGCTCTGCACAGAACTCTTAGTGGAAACCTTCTATCCTGAAGCTACTGACTCCCCAGTGGGTGGGCAAATAGAGTAAGGTGGCTGCCCCAGGCCTGCATCCTTTCCTGAGGGAGCTGACCACATGTCTTTCCTTCGTTGGTGCTATGACAGAGACCCAGGAGCCTGGGCCCGGCCTGGATAGTGAAGAGACCAGCAAAGAGGCAAGAGCAGCAACCCCTCAGGCCTGGGCTGGCCCCATGGAGGAGCCTCCACAGGCACCGGAACCTCCCCCAGGGCAAAGCAGCCCCACGGAGGACTTGATGTTCATGGCATCTCCAGAGCAGGCTGTCCTGGTTGTCCCTCTGGAGCCTGCCATGGCCAACTCTGCCACAACTGACACCCCGGCAGCTGATGCCAATGAAACCGACACTGCCACTGCTGACACCGCTGTTGCCAACACCATCACCCCTGCCGCTGCCAGCCTCATCGACCTATGGCCTGGCAATGGGGAAGAGGCCTCCACACCCCAGGCTGAGCCCTCGGGTGCTGAGGTCACTCTGGCAGAGGTACCCCTGCTAGACGAGGTGGCTGCGGAGCCACTGACACTGGCAGGCAAAGGCTGTGCCAACCTTCTCAATTTTGATGAGCTGCCTGAGCCACCAGCTACCTTCTGTGATCCAGAGGAGGAAACAGAAGGGGAGCCCCTAGCTGCCTCCCAGGTCCCAACTCTGCCCTCGGCTCTAGAGGAGCTGGATCAGGAGCCAGAGCTGGAGCCAGAACCAGAGCCCCACCTGCTGACCAATGGCGAGACCACCCAGAAGGAGGGGACTCAGGTGGGGCAGGGACAGTCTGGTGGGAGGGGTGGTGGTCCGGGTTCTAGCAGAGGCACCCCCTTCCTCCTTCCTCTGTGACCCACATGATTGGAGGGAAGCTCCGTTCCCTTCTCCCTCCTTGGGCCAGCTCTGCTTTTTTGCTCAAAGCAGACATGTTTCCCTGGAAACCACTGATGGAATCACTGGTTGCTGGGGAAACGGAGTTCAGGCCTGTAGGTCAGCCCTAATCCTCCTTGGTGGGGCCCAGTGACCTGGAGCTTTCCTCCTGCAGGCCAGTGAGGGGTACTTCAGCCAATCACAGGAGGAGGAGTTCGCCCAATCGGAAGAGCTGTGCGCAAAGGCCCCGCCTCCTATGTTCTACAACAAACCTCCAGGTAGTACTGGGATGGGTGATGCTGGGGTGCTGGGTTCAAGTGTGTTTGCATACACACACAGCCACAGCTCCCAGGGGCTGGGGGACACAGCCATGGGCTTGCTGGGCCATCTCCTTAACTCCCCTCCCTTCCCGACATCACAGAAATCGACATCACCTGCTGGGATGCAGACCCAGTACCAGAAGAGGAGGAGGGCTTCGAGGGCGGTGATTAGCGGTGGTGCCTGCCCTCAGGCTGCCCTTGCCAAGGCCGCCCACCTGTGTCGGCCTCTGGCCAGACGGCCCGCCGCGCCTGCACTCGCAGCAGCTCCGCCTGGCATCCATTCCGGATTCCGGCCCTGACCCAGGACTTGGCCGCTTCCCTACCCACAGGGCCCAACTTTTACAGCTTTTCTCTTTTTTTTAAAGTTGATAGGAGACTTGTACAGTTGACTGGTTTTCCTCCCGTTGGTAGTTGAGACGCTGTTGCAAATTCTACCCCTTCCCCTCCCGGTCCAGATTGTAGCTCTTAGCCCTCCCTGCTCACTCAGCTGGCCGGGGTGGAGGCCTCACCCTACTTGGGGCCTGGTGTCGGGGGAGCTCTGGGTGGGAAAATGTCCCACCTCTTTTCCTAGTTTTATGTTTCTTGGAAAAATATCACTTTGTATTCTCTGTCCAGGGCTTCAGATATTTTGCACGAATTTTAAAACATGGCAATAAATGGCTCGTGGGCTCTGGCTCCCTGGGACCCCCTCCCCACCCTTCCCTTGACCCCTCCCCGCCTGGCCCAAAGGAAGTAGGCCCAGATGGGGCCCCTCAGCTTCCAGGCCCTTTCCTGCCCCCCTCCTGCTGGGCAGGTCCCAAGCTGGAGGCCCTAGGCGCGGATCAGGTCAGGGCTATCAGTGGGGCCCGGGGCTTGGATGGCCCCTCCCCAACTCCTCCCTCTTTGCTTGGGTTCCTTTTTCACGTTCAGTAACTGTTTTTTGGAAAGCACAAACTTCTGTAACGGGTCGTGCTGATGTCTGTTAATAAAGAAATCCAGATCCCTTTGGGCCTGCTGCTCCGGGCCTCCAGGGGCAGATCTGGGGTGTGCCGCCTGCCCTGTGACCCCCAATTCCCAACTCTTCCCACCTCCAAGGTCACAGGGGGTGCCCTCCCTGTGATCTCACGGGCAGGGAAGGGCTGGGGCTCCCAGGGGAAGCAGCCTATGACGCTTAGTTCCGCACCCTCAGGCCAGTTTGCAGCCACAAGGCGCACTCAGGTTCTGTCCCGCCAAGGCCCAGGCACACCTGGCTACCAGAGCCTTGGGCGCAAGCAGTGGGTGCCCCTCCTCTTGTACCAAACCAGATCACACACCTTTATTATCCTCAAAATGTAACAAACGGGGTAAGAAATCCCTCCCTCCCCACCCCCCCACCCCCCGTCCAAGGGAAGCATTTAAAAAGCCCCGCAGTCAGGCCATGAGTCCGCGGGTGGGGCGCAAGAGGGCGCCCCTCTATACGGCTGTAGTCCTCCCGAACAAGGGGATGGAGACCGGCAGGCGCCAAGCTCCATGCTCCAGCGGCTCGCGGCTGCTGAGCTCCGAGTCGGTCCAGCTTGGGAAGACCCGGCGGCCACGGTCGGCTTGCAGACAGAGCGCAGGGCAGGGTGGCGCGGGCCGCGGAGCGCTGGGCAGGTGCAGCGCCGACGTGTAGCCCCGGTCCAGGAAAAGTGGCTTGTAGCTGGGCGGCGGCTGCTCTTGCTTCTCCGCGCTGTCGCGGCGGCTCAGGAAGGGAGTGACGATCTTGCGGTAGAGGCCGCGCGTGTCCGTGAGCACCTCACTGTAGGGCGGCGGCGGCTCGGCCATCAGCACCGCCTCTTCGTAGCACGGGGGCTTGGACATGTCCGATTCCGCTGCAGGGTGGGGAGCGGTGCGAGGCGTGAGGCCACCCGTCCCCGGCCTCCCGCGGAGGCCTCGGCCAGCGGCCAAGCACACCCGCCCCCCCCCCCCCCGCCCCGTCCCCTGGAAGCCTCCCGGCCAGCAGCGCTCCCGCCCACCCTGGGGCCCACGCTGCCCCCGCGGAGGCCCGCACTCACCTTGGCGCGGGTAGCTCCAGGGCCGCGGCGGCACCGGGAGGTGCACCGGGGGCGGGTGCGGGAGCGCGTGGTGCGGATGCGGGTGCGCGTGCGGGTGCGGGTGCGCGTGCGGCTGCGCCGGCCCGTGGTGCAGCAGCGGGTGGACGTGCACGTGCTGATGCGCGTGCGCCGGCGCCTCGAGGCGGCCGCGCTGAGGCGGGGGCGGCGGCGCCAGGCCCGGGGGGCTCCCGGCCAGGCTGCCCTCGAGCTCCAGCGGCTCCAGCTCGAGGGCGCGCAGGTTCTGCTCACGTAGTCGCTCCTCCTGGCGCCGTTTGAGGCGGCGGCGCAGGAAGCTGCAGAAGCAGCAGAGTAGGACGATGAGACCCCAGATGAGCCAGAACCCGGCGAAGCACGTGAGGAACGTGTAGGTGCCCTGGGACATCACCATGGCGGCGGCGGGTCCTCGGTTGCTTCACTAGACACTCGGCTCCTCTACTCGGCTGCGGGCCCGCGCCACGCTCCCGGGCGCCGCCAGTGTCGCTCGGGGACCTGCGGCCGGGGGCTGCCCGCGGCGGGGCTCACGTCGTGCGCGCGCCGGCGGGGGGCAGCAGCAGCGGCGCCCGCTCCTTCCCATGGCGCCGGCGGGCGCGGGGCGGGCCTCACCCCGGGCCGCGCGGGACCTGCAGGGCAGACGCGGGGCGCGGTGAAGGCGCGCTCCAGCCCCGGGCGACTCCCCTGCCCGCGCCCGCGCCCGCGCCCTGCGCAGTTCCGGGGAAGCCTCCTCTGCGGGAACCCCCGCACTCCCCGGGGCGGTGACGTCACCGAGGATGACGTCACACCCCGAGGGTTCCCCGGTAGGGTTTTCCCGGATCTGAGCCCCGGCCGCCGCCGCCGCTGGGCCGAGGGGACTCCGGGCCGGCCAGCAGGGGGCGCGCGAAAGCCAGCCTCAGCCTCAGCCTCAGCACCAGAGGTTCAACACCCCAGAGGGTACCCCAGTTCGGAAGGGGTTCCAGAGGCGGGTGGTTAACCCCTGGGCGCTGGAGAGCGTCCCGGGGCGGTTGCTGTGCGACGGGGAAAAGGTGGCCACCTCCTACAGCCCTACTAGCAGCCCACCGACGCCCGGCTTCAGCCCAGTGCGTGCGCCGCCGCCAGGCAGCCCCCGACGCTCTAGGCCCTCTAGGCCCGTACCCGCGCTTCCCCCCGGCCGCCCGAAGCGAGGAACATCCAGGCGCGCACTGCGGCCTCGCGGCCGTCATCGCTCTGGGAGAAGGGGCTCAGGCGGCGCTTCAGGCTGGTACCAGTAGCACGGCAGCCCCCGTCTGCACCGCACCGCCCGCGGGGCGTGGGCCGTTCCGTCTTCTCCTTTCCTCTGGGCCCCTGCGCCCATCAGATCCCAGCTCAGCCTCGGGTTCCCCAGCCTCCGACCAACTGGCAGCCCCACTTGGCCCTACTGCTCTAGGTCCTGTGTGCCTTACTGCTTCTCCTCAATCCCTTTCCGTTTTTGCAAAAGGTAGGAAAAGGAGCTCGTCTGCTACTGTATCACCTGGTCTTTCATCACTCCAGATGGGCAGATGGGCACGTCTAGTTCTGCCTCCTCCTCACCACAGCCAGGGTTTAGAAGGGAACCTTGTATCCTAAAATATATGTAGGAGGGAACCCTGCCTGACTGCGGAGTGAGGAGTGGCAGGCGACTGTTCGCCACCCCCTCGAACAGAAGTGTGCCCTTCATGAATGTCCTAACTACCCAGGTCTTTCGCATACAACCCTTTGGGGTAACTGCTGTTATTCCTATTTTACAGATGAGGCAGGGAGCAGTTAGCTGTGTAAATGGCAGATGGCAGTGCTTTAATTTGAACCCAAGCCTGGCCACAAAACCCTGGCCAGGGGTGGAAGTGCTGCTACTTGAGCTATCTTGTGGGCCTCTACCACCAGCCTCATGGACACCCCCCCCCACACACACACACACACACTTCCTCAGCAAGTCCAGTGCACAACATTAGGTCTGGGGGCAATGTGGGCCTGGGCCCTAGGCTCCACATCAAGCTGTCTCAGACTGTTCTGGCAGCAAGCTGGGGGGAAGCCAGGCCAGGGGCCACCCCACACTTCTCCCCAGATGGCTCCTGTCTGATTCTGTGGCTGCCTTGTGCCATGTGCCACTTGGTCCCTGTGCCAGTCCCTTTCTCCTGGGCCTGTGTTCCAGAACAGACAATGGTAAGAACAATAGCTCCACCCGCCCCCTCCACAACCCTGCCATGAGGCTGCCATGGTGACGCAGCCAGATAAAAACACGATGCTGCCAGTCACTGGGAGTTAATTAAATCTGTTGTTCTCCTTTTCCTGAGCCCACAGGAATTTTCAGGAATGCTCTGAGAAGGCTGGCACTAACTAGGGGGCCCCTTGGCCTGCACAGCAGGAACAGCTCCAGATCAGAAAAGGTACTTCTGAGGTTGGAGGTGATGGAGTTTAGCTGAATTAGAAATAGAAATACCAGGAATCCCTGGGTGGCTCAGTGGTTTAGCACCTGCCTTCGCCCCAGGGCGTGATCCTGGAGTCCCGGGATCAAGTCCCACATCAGGCTCCCTGCATAGAGCCTGCTTCCCCCTCTGCCTGTGTCTCTGCCTCTCTCTCTCTTCTGTGTCTTTCATGAACAAATAAATAAAATCTTAAAAAAAAGAGAGAGAGAGAGAGAGATAGAAATACCTGCCAAGAACTGTCTACTGCATGTCAGGCCTTGTTCTAGGCACTTTCCATTCAGAATCTCGTGTGCTATATAATACCACCTGCTCAGGCCCATTTGATAAATTAGGAGACAAGCTCAGACAGAGAAATGACTTGCCCCACGTCACACAGCTAATAAAGGGAAGAACTAGGTTTTAGCCTGAGTCTATATCCAAAGTCTGTCACAATATTTTCCCTTATGTGGCCCCTGAGATGTAAATGAAGAGCCTGGTGCATGTGAGCACTTTGAACAAGAGGACTTGGCAGCAACGGAGACACTTGGTCAACTGGCCAACTTGTAGCCAAAACACACCTTCCTGTTCCTTCCCAGCAAGACCCTGGCCTCCAGCCCTCAGGTCAAGAATAGGAAAAGGCTATAGGGTGAATGGAGAAACAGGAATGGCAGCTCCAAGGTCAACAAGGAATAAAGGACACTCTCTGCCCTGAGTGGCCTAGCTCAGCTGACTGGGCATTAAGGTGAATGGGTGCAGGCCACATGCAAGACCCTTTAGGTGCTAATGTGGCTCCTCAGCCAGGAGGCAAGAACCATTGCCATATTGTACACATTAGGCCGCTGCAGGTCTGAGAAAGGTAGGCTCTCTGATGTCACACTGGTACCAATAACCAATTTGAGTGGGCAGGGGTTTGATGCTAAACACTCCCTCCTGGGCTATTATTTCACTCAGTGGTGCTCTGGCAGGTCAGAGGACGTGGGTCCTGCCTGAGGCCTTCTTCCTGACTTTGTCTAGCCCACAGGAATTGCTCAGTACGTCTCATCTAATCCACAGTAGGTGCTCAATACATAAATGTCAAGAGAGACATTCAGACCTTTCCAGAAGCTCTTCCTAACAGGCCAGGCTTCTTTAAGTTTCCTGTATATTCTGTGCATGCTCTTGCCTGTGTCTGGGGAGCCCTCTGCAGACTCTGCCTGCAGCTTCTTACTCACAGCTATATACCCTTCCCCAACCCCTCCAGACTGTCCAGAGTAAATACTGCACTTGTCCAACTCCAATTGTGTGCTAGGGGTGGTGCCTCCAGATGGCCTCATCTTTAAGTCTGCCATTTTATGATTTGTTTCTTCATTCTGTTTTCTTACCTTCTTACAGGTTATCTGAACATTTTTTAGGATTCCATATGGATTTATTTGAATTTGTGAGTGTATTACTTTGGTTTTCTTAGGCCACACACTCACTAGTTTAGCAGGGGGACAAAAACAAGACCCCAGGGGGTGAGTTTCTTAACTCCTATGATGCCAGCTTCCTCATCAATGACCATGGTGACGACTGAGCTAGCTGTTCATGCAAAGGATTTAGCTTTAGTGCTAAGATGGTGGCTTCTGAGCTGGGGATGCAAAGATGTGTGTGTCCTTAAGGTGCTCCATCACAAATCATTCTCAGGCATCCTACAAAGGAGGTTAGCATTCCTCCCATTTGACAGATGAGGGCACTTGGCTCAAAAGGATTAAATGATGGGACGCCTGGGTGACTCAGTGGTTTAGCACCTGCCCTGCCTTAGATCCAGGGCGTGATCCTGGAGTCCTGGGATCGAGTCCCACATTGGGCTCCCTGCATAGAGCCTGCTTTGCTCTCTGCCTGTGTCTCTGCCTCTCTGTGTCTTTCATGAATAAATAAATCTTTTTTTTAAGGGATTAAATGATACCCAAGGTCACACAGATTTCTTATTCTGGGGCCTGGTACACTGCTGTGGGCACCTACCACATTGCTACTCTGCAGGAAGAACTCCAGTCCCAGGACTCCAGTCCTAGACCCTAAAGATTTACTGGAGCTTTTATCTCAGTAAAGGGCACACCAATCACTCCATCCACTAAATCCGTGCTTTTTATGGGGCACCTGGGTGGCTCAGTCGGTTAAGCATCCTATTCTTGATTTCCAGGTTATGATCTCAGGGTCATGAGATTGAGCCCCACGCTGGGCTCTGCTTGAGACTCCCTCTCTCCCTCTGTCCCTCCCCCTGCTCACACACTCTAAAATAAATAAAATCTCTTTTTCTTTTAAAAAAACTAAATCCTGGGGTGCCTGGGTGGCTCAGCGGTTGAGTGCCTTTGGCTTAGGGCCTGCTCCCACGGTCCCAGGATCGAGTCCCACATCGGGCTCCTTACATGAAGCCAGCTTCTACCTCTATGTCTCTGCCTCTCTGCCTCTCTCTCTCATGAATGAATGGATGAATAAATAAAATCTTTAAAAAAAGGTAAATCCTGTTCTTTTTACCTTTGTCCACTTCCTTTGGTCCCCCTGCCACTCCCTTGGCCCAGCTACCATCATCTCTCACCTGGGCCCCTATACCACCCTCGCCACTGCTCTCTCTCCTTCCATACTCTGTGCTGCCCAGCCTACCCACTTTCCACATTGCCTATTCCCCCTAGGCCTTCTCCTGCCTGAGCCCTCTAGCAACTCCCCACCTCTTCAGGAGGCAGCCCTGCTCTTTATGACAGTTTAGACAGGTGCCTCTCAAACTTGAATGAGCATCAGAGCCACAGAGAGGGCTTGTTCAAACAGACTGCTGGGCTCTGCTCCCAATGTTTGCTTCAGTAGGTCTGGGGTTGGACCTGAGTGTTTGCTTTTCTAACAAATACCCAGCAGATACTGATGTTGTGGTCCAGAGAGCACACTTTGAGAACTGACCTAGATCATGGCTTCTGGGAGAAGTTCCTGCCAAGGCCTCTTCAGCCTCACCTCACACTGCTCTTCCCACTGTAACCAGCCTGTATTCCCATCCTCAGCTACTGAGAGTCCCACTTTCTTTCCCAGAGGGGCCTACACCACGGCCTCAAAGCTCTTGCCCCCACATTTATTACTCAGCTTCATGGCCTGTCACTTTGCTGGACACATCAACTCCAGAACACCTCACTCCCCAGGGCTCGATGAGAAGCCCAGGGATGTGACAGCGTGCTGTAGCTGCCTGTGTGCAATTCCAGAGGTGGCATCTGTCTTGTCATCTGGCATGCAACAGCTCCAAAATCCTTTAGGGTGACTGGAGATGTCCAGTTCCCTGTTTGGTCTTTTAGCTGTAGGACAGGGAACACCTCAAGAGCTGGGTCTGCATCCCATTCACTCCTGGGAAATGTCAGCCATTCACCAAAACATCACCAAGAGAGAAGCCATCACCCAGCTGTTGGCCCTCACAGGGTGGTTTATAAATGAGATGAGGATCCATATATTCATGTGAATAAGAGGAAATGGAGGCATTTGTCAGGGGCTCTCAAGTGGACAGAGGGAATCCAAGACAGCAGGGGCTCTGGGTCATAAGGTTCCCTGGATACAAGGCCAGAGCTGCTGATCAAGTGAAGGGACAGGGACTCAGAGCAGGGGATAGCAGAGGGAGGGAGAATGTGGTATACAGAGTAAGTATGGGGTGGGAGAAGTTACTACTAACCTGCATACCCAGCACAAACCAGGCCCACTGCTGGTCTCTTCACAGTCATTATCTCAGGGACACCTAGAAGGTGGCTGCTGCCACCCCATTCTACAGATTAGGAGCTGAGGCCGGTTCAGGCCCACATTGCCAGGAGGTTGTGAAGCCCAGGTGACTGCAAAGCCCACTGTCCTGGCAGGAAGGGCATTTCAGGCAGGCACTGGTAGCAATTTTATACTCCTTCCAGACCATGACAGATGAAGTGAGGCCAGAGAGGACTGCTGCCACAGTCCACCAGGCATAGAGCTGACCAGAGCCTCATTTCCAGCTAAGCCAAAGTACTGGCTTGGCACTCTTGCCTACGGGTAGCACCTCTGTAGCCAACCTTGGCACTGGGCCAGGAACCCAGGGCTTAGAAACTGCAAACAGGACAACAGAGACGGGTTGCAGAGAGCTTGTGGGCAGAGAGGCCCTATGTGGCTCAGTGTCTACTGAACTCCTCTCTGTCCTTCCTAGGGAGTTGGCCACAGCTCAGGTGCTGGGGGGGGAGGTGAGGATGCCCTCTTCTGAGAGGCAACATGGTGTAACACACAGAGCACTGCGGGGAGAGCCCAGGGTGCAAATCCTGCTTCTGCCTTGATCAGGCTGTGTGCCCCCTGTCCCAGCAGTTCCCATGCCCGAGGTGAAGTTTCTTTGCCTGTAAAACAAGGATGATGAGATCTGCCTAGCATTGCCAAGGGAGGAGCAAAACTGATGAAGTGAAAATACTTCAAGACTGGTGTACACAGCCACACGTGACAAACCAAATGCCAGCACTTTGCAGCCCCAAGAGGCTCAAATATGGAAACCAGCCCATGGCACTACATCTACACTACAAGGGGAGTGGCCCAGCAAAAACTGCCATCACTTTACCATGGACCAGAGGTCATGGCCTTGTGACTCTCAAGCTGGACGCAGTTCATGGTCATGTTTTGTTGCCCCACAGTCAATTTTTTTAAATACTCTGATTAGGGCAGCCCGGGTGGCTCAGCGGTTTAGCACCACCTTTAGCCCAGGGTGTGATTCTGGGGACCTGGGATGGAGTCCCGTGTCAGGCTCCCTGCATGGAGCCTGCTTCCCCCTCTGCCTGTGTCTCTGCCTCTCTTTCTGTGTCTCTCATGAAAAAATAAATAAAATCTTTTAAAAATAAAATAAAATAAAATACTCTGATTAGTCGCCAAATTTAAAACCCAGGAGATTTTACATAAAAGTCTGAATTCCTTGTTCATCTTAAAAAATTATCTGCTCATTCCAAGTCCACATTCTCATGTGGCGACATAGACAGTAGCTGAGTAGTTCCTGGCCTACCTCACTCGTTCCATTGCTCGCAGGGCCCTAGAGGCATTTGGGTTTCTACTCCCTGAGCTACAGTAAGCACCCAGAGCAGCCAGCACTACATGGACTCATCTTTGCTGAATTCTACCACAGCCAAGGCTGCAAGCTGATCAGGCCACAGAGCCCCAAAATCAAGAACCAGGGTCTTAGGGGTTTCCCAGGTAACTGAGGTAGCCCTCACTGCTCAGGTTCACCCAGAGAAAGAAAATGGCCCCAGCCTAGCAGCATCACAGTCCTGTAGAGCGTCTGGGTGAGCAAGAATCTAGCTGATTTTGCTGGAAGAGGGAAAGGTGTACTAGGGCTTGCAAGACATAGGGAATTTCCTCACTGGAAGAATATGAAAGAAAGTCAAGAATGCTCCTCTATAAGGCCCTGTGGTTATTCTCTGTGGTCACAAGAAATGGTGTGTGGCAGGCAGAGAGCAGCTGTGCCAATAGAGAAGCGATCACTGGAAACCTAGCTCCACCACTTCACTGGTTGTGTGACCTTGAGGAAATTAACATTACCTCCCTGAGCCTCGGGAGTCTTCATCTCTAAAATGGGGATAATAAACTTACCTTGCAGATCCTTGAAAGGAACAGGGGACAACAGACATCCTGAAAGGAATAGGGGACAATGGACGCAGAACACTCAACAGAGGTCTCACACAGAGCAGGGACAGAATGAAAGGAGCCTGTGAATAATTCCAAAGGGACCCCTGCCTGCAGGAGGGAGACTCAGGACTGACTCAGGGCAGCACTCATCTAAGGGCATCTTATGTCAAGGCCTCAAATGTCTGGGGTTATGGTCATCTCTGGTGCCCAGGACACTCTGCTGGATGGGAAAAGAAACCCAAGGGTGGTTGTGGTCGCTGGATGTTGAGTCTAAGGTCTGCGATTGGAGGTTGGCATCTGCTGAGTCAGGTCTGGGAGAGCTGGCAGGAGGACCATTTCTCTCCCAGCACCCTGCCGCTGCGGGCTGGGGGAGGTTGGGAGAGGAGCCAGAGGTCATCTCCTCTGATTCAGCGGCCACTCTCCTCTCAGAGGAGCTCCCCTGGAGGACAGAGCATCTCCATGTGGTGCTGGCCTGCCTGCCGGCCAATCTGCATGCCACCCAGCACAGTCTGGGCTTTGTGCTCAGACAAGAGACACTTGTGATCCAGACAATGGGCCAGGGCGCTCCCATTTGGCTTCCCTGGGCCAGCAATGTCCTTGCCTCTGCTCCTGCCCACTCTGCTCCTACCACTCGCGGGAGAATGGGGGCTTGGAACGCGGAGCAGAAACCCACAACCGGTCCTAGCCACGGCCGGGCACATGCCCTGACCATGAGGAGCAGGGATGTGAGCTTCTTTCTTCTCCCCCGGTAAGGGACATCGCCTCTCTGGCACCCAACTTGGGTCAGGCCGTTTCGCTGGGGAGTGGGGTAGTGGTGGGGGGTGTTGGGGCGCAGACGCTGGACCCAGCCTCCAAGCCGCCTCCTCCTCCTCCCAAGGCAGGCCCAGGGGCTGGGCCGCCCCCACGTTTGCAGCCACCCCAGGAGCCCTGCTGCGACGACTGCAGCCACGTGGGAGCCAGCTCGTGCCCACGGGGCCGCTCGCCCCCCACCCCCATCCTCGACGAGCTGTGGAGGCAGGCACGCCCAGACTGGCGACGCTACCCCCACCGCTCAAGGGGGAGTCCCCGCACCCCCTTTCCCCCCGCGCCCCTAGGCTGTGGCCCCGCTCGGGGTGGGGGAGGAGTGGGAGGGGGCGTCGCCGCCCGCAGCAGCGTTGCCGGGGAGCGCAACCCCGTTGCTGTGGCAACCGTTTCCAAGCGAGCCGGTGGCGGCTCGCGCCCGGCTTTGGCTCCGTCGCTCACTGGCGCCCTCCCGCTCTCTTCCTCTCTTCCTCCCTCCCTCCCTCCCTCCAGACAGGCTGGGGGAGGGGCTGGCCGGGCGGGGGTCCGGGGCGGCGACCCGGGGCCTGAGCGCGGAGCGGCCCGCGGGGAGGGGCTCAGCCCCGGGTCATCTTCCTCCCGCCTCCGGGCCCGCCCGCCGCCGCCGCCGCCGCGGTACTCACGGGCCCAGGCATCCTCCTCGCGCTCGTCCTCCTGGCTCGGGGCGAGTGGCGCGGGCCCCGCGGACGGAGCCCCCGGCCCGGGGAGGCGGCGGCGGCGCCGGGGAGCTGACTGTGGCGGCGAAGGCGGCTGCGGGCGCTGGGCTGGAGCCGGGGGCGCGCGCACGGGCTCGTACACGGCGCGTACCGGCCCGGCGTGCGCGCCGCGGCAGCCGGCAGAGGCCCCCCCAGCCCACTCGCCGCCGAGGTGTCCTGGGAGCGGAAGGCGGAGGACCCGGCGCCCACCTGCTGCGCAGCGCACAGACGCGCTCGCGGGGCGCCGGGTGCACCGGGCCCGGGAAATGCACGCGCCGCGCCGCACCGCTCCTGGCAGCAGGCTGGCCGGACGGGGGCACGCCCGCCGATGGGGGGGGTACAGTCGGCCGAGTGCACGGGTTGCTCAAAGCGAGCAGCCGAGGTCAGAGCCCCTGACACACACTCATACACAGTTCAACCCGGGAAGCACACATATGTTCACGCCTGGCCACAACCCGAGAGGCACTGCACACATGCGGTGGGCAAGAGTTGGGGCAGGCAGGCACCCCAGCGTTGTTCTAACTCACCAAATGGGGCCCCCTCCCAACTTACAACCCCTCCCAGTGTGTCTCCAGGGAACATACATCACCACAGGTCTACTAAGAAGTAACACAGGAAGAACGCAGTCCTGGATCCATAGCCCAGGCTTTCACGGACCCTGTTCATCCCCAGGGAATAGGGGTGACTCCTAGTAAGGGCCCCACTGTCTTCGCTAAGTCAATAATCTGGCTGTCCATTGGTCTCTCTTAATTGGGTTCTGTTTCCAGTCTAATTTTTCTATCACGCTTATGGTGATCTTCCAAAAAACACCACCACCACATCAGCGGGACATTTTGGTTTGCAAGTGACAGAACCCCAAAACAAATAGTAGGCTTGGGCCCAAAGGTGTTCGACACATGTAACTAAGTCCAAAGGTAGATTTTAGCTGTGATCACAACTGGTTCCAGGTGTCCCAACAATGGTATCAGACGTGTATCTGTTCTCTCCACCCTGCTTTCTTCTGTTTGCATCATTCTTGAAAATTCCCAGGTGGTGGCAAGGACAACACCCACAGCTCTAGGCTTATATCCTGCCACCCAACCCCAAAGAAGAGAACCTCAATTCTTTCCTAGTAGTTCTAAGCAAGCCCCCAAAAGACTATTTTTGAACTCATTTTGGCTTAGTGTCACATCAGTGAACCAATCCAGTCGGTCATGCCAGGAGAGAGAAAATATGTTCAGCTACCCAGCAGCCATTTCCTTTTCTTTGGATACAAGCACCCTATTTCATCAGGGGAACTCACTGCACCCCATGGGTGCCATCATGCTGGACCTGTGAACCCAAGTGCCCAGCTCCCTCCATGCACAGTGAGCAGATTTCCAGCTGGGCCTTTTGTGCTCCTTGGGTTTGCAGTAAGGCTCAATGATGCAGACACAAACATGGCTGTAGCATCTTACTCCTGGGGATCATACCCTAATGAGAATGGGGTCTGTGACTAAGACCCTGGAGGTGTCCCAGTTCTGGTTCTTCCTATCATGTTCCCCCATATCCTCGTAACACTCTAAGTTAGTTGAAGGACAGTTCCGTCACTTGCAACCAAAGATCTCTAACAGCCTCACCGGGGTCACTCTGGGTGTATATGTATGCAGCGCATGCAAACCCAGCCCCATCAAAACCACGTGGACTGAGACAGGAGGTTCCCCAAAGTAAACATGGGGTGATTTTTGTACATACTAGGCAGACATCCCAACACAACCAGTTGAAATCCTTTAGGGACATCCCTGCCTTTTAGATGGGGCCCCACATCCTTAACATGGCTTTCAAAGCCCTACGTGGTGCTCACAGACTTGGCTCCAGTCGTTCCCTTCACCCACCCATCATCACCCACCCCACCCCAAGTTATCCTAAACCACCAGAGGCCCTAGACCATCCATCTGGCTCCTCCACCCAGGTACTTCTGGTTCTGTCTCCTGGAGGGAACCAATTCTGAGACTTTTGTGGCCAAGAGGGCTCCCTGCTTGGTGTTGTCCTCCAGCCCCAGTCCCTCAGCATTCGCAGCCCCGCTAGCTCTAGAATCATGTCTGCGATAGTGCTGATTACACTGGGGCTTACCTGTTCCCATTTCTGTCTCCCTACCAGACTGAGCTCCAAACAGGCAGGGGTCCTGTCTCCATTTGGGTCCCCAGCTCCCACCATAGAGATGGACTCCCTAAGTAAGAGCTTTAAGGTAAACTGGACTATAGCCAACCAGTTCCTTGGGTGCCCACCTAACCCACGGGGGGAGCTTGGTGGGAGGTCTTGACCCACTTGCAGGTGGAGTGCTCTAGGGACCTATTGGTCCAACTCGTCCCCACTCGCCCTTGTACACCTGCTCAGGGCTAGGCTTTGACCAACTGACACCTAACTGCCCTCCCACCAAAACGGAAGGGCAAATGCACCTCAGGCCCCAACATTACTCATTATAGGTAGGATCCGGCTTCATCTTCAGCTGGCTTCCTTGCTACCATGCAATAGCCGCTCACCAGCTGGAAGACCTTGGGCATGGCCCTCTCTGGTTCCTCTTGTTAACGGAAGCAGCAGCACATACCATCAGAGCTGGGCCACCACCACAGGGGCCCCTTTCACTAAGTCAGTGCTTACAGCCTTCTGGCTGCCCTTGAGACAGCCGTCAGCTTGGCACCCAGCACCCAATCCTCTAATTGGTAAGGGTCCTGTCAGTGACACAGGGGCAAAGGGAGGTGATTGGCTGTTTTCATGGATTCTCACAGTTGCCCTGTGAAGTGATGGGTATCACACCCATCTTTCTCAACAAGGGAAGGGCCTATGCAAAGCCAGCTTGAAAAGTGGCCCGGCTGAGACCTGAACCCAGAACTGCCCAACTACAAACCTCATGAGGCCCCTGTGGCATTGGAGCCGAGCCCAAAGGCAAGAAACAAACCCTTACTGTGGTTACAGAGCATCCTTGGAGGGCTGGGGGCATTGGGAGACTATGGAGTAGCAACAGGTTTATGAAGTCTAAGACACACTTGTCAATGGACTGTCATCTCCTTCGCATAGGTGGAAGGCTATGGGATGCTCCCCCAATCCCTCTGTCTCCAGGTGGATAAGTCTCTTCTAAGACCTAGCTCAACTTTCCAGAGAACTCCTGATGCCCTCATGGCTGGTCCCCACCCACCCTTGCCGCAACCTAACTTCCAGCATCACCACTGTCTCATCTCTGCCCAGCCACATTTCCTGCTTCCAGGGCAGAGGGATGGCTTAATTCACTGGCCCTGGGCGGAGCACACAACAGGTGTCCAGGGGAGACAGAGTGAGCAGATGTTTCTAACAGCAGCTTCTACCTTGCTCCCCAGGCTGCTCCAAGCCCATAACCAGTCTCCAGGCCACCCTGGCCTTGGAGGGGATCCTGCCAGCTAAGTCTGCCTCCCCAAGGCAGAGCCAGACTCACGCCCTAGTGGGGACCCAGGCTTCTTCCCTCAGGCCTCATCCCATTTAGGAAGCTGAGAAACCCACCAGGTGAGCCCAGAGGCCACCAAAGCCTGGCTGCCTGGAGAGGTTATGCCAAGATCAGCCAGGGGGGAAGGGTCCAGGGCATGTTGGAAAGGTAGCCCCCACCAAGCCCACCTCTGATCCCTTCCCACTTCCAGCAGGGTGAGGAAAGCAGGAAGACCCCTGGAATACCAGGAGCAAGAAAGAGGCAGGCAGGGCGGCTGGCCAGGTATGTGCTCGACTGTATTCACTCAGAGACACGTGGCAGCTTACATTGGACAAAATGAGTAATAAAAATTGGCTTTAAATACGGAAAAACCAGGGCCCTGTAATCCCATGCTACCCTAACACTGGGACCAGGATGGCCATCACAATCTGGGAAGAACCAGAACTGGGGTCTGGGGTATAGGCACACACACACCTCGACCTACCCCCTTCATGCACACGTTCAATCTCTCTCTCTCTCACACACACACATACCACAGGCACACACAGGGAGGGATGGATTATTGCTGGGCACACGTGTCTATTGTTAAGAGGGGAGTCTGGAATGTTTGAGAGTTGGCCAGGGACAACCTCCTCCCCCCTTCCCATGGCCTGGGCCGGGGTGTTTCTATAAGAGGTGTCTTTAGGACAGGGCCCAGCACGTAGGACAAGGCGCCCTGGGAGCTGCAAGGCAGAGGCAGACCCATCTGGGGCAGCTTGGGCAGTGGGCTGATGGGTCCCACAGCCAGCCTAGTCTCTGGTCACACTTTGGCACAGGCCTAGGGGATACAGAGGCCCCAGATCCAGCTTTGACAAGTGCTGAGAAGGGACAACATTGGACCCCAGAGGTGGTGGCCTGAGCCTGGGGCAGCAGAGGCAGGCAGGAGTCTCACTCGGAGGTCGGCGGTGGCGAGCACAGTGCTGGGGGCTCAAGGGCCTTGGCCTGTCCACGCTGGGCCCAAGGAGCCCTGAGTTTGGCAGTGGCCCCTCTGCCAGCTCCAAGGTGGGTCTTAAGAATGGTCTGGTTGCTATATACATTCATACAAATACATAAATACAGAAAGCCCCGAGCTCCACAGACAAGAGCTGAAGGGACGCACCTTTGTCCCAGGGACAGCCCAGGCCTTGCCGAACTCAGCCAGACAGGGACTGAGGGGCAGAGGACGCTGCGGAGAGCTCCGCTGTGTTCCCCAGGCCACAACTTGCGTGGACAATGGGGAAGACCACTGTGCAAAACTGTAAACAGTGCTTGGAGTAGCTGCTACCGCCAACCACCGGTGAGGGCCTCAGGCTGGGGGCTAGAGGCGGGTGGGGAGCTCGAGGCGGGTGGGGAGCTCTTCCTCACTGTCGCTGCAGTTTCCACAGCAATCCTGGAGGGATGGGGAAGACACGGAAGGAAAGAGGCAGAGCAAGTGCCATTAGCCACTGGTGCCATCACCCAGGCTGCGGCCCTGCCAGGAGCTGCCCAGAGCCACGCTCTGGGCTGTGGGATCCCCATGAGGGGCCTGGAGCAGCAGCTCAGGCCAGACATGGGTGGACATCAGTGCAGAGGCTACTGGCAGCAGGCTGGAGTAAGAGGGTCCAGGGGGATCTCAGG